TCAAAATGTGACCACTAGAATGTTAACAAGGTTTTTCCATATTTGGGCGGTGTGACCTAGTTTTTTTATCCGAGATGACCCATGTTCGAACTTGACCTAGAAATTATTAAAACAAACTTTCAGACCAATTTACAGGATATTTGGATCAAAACAGTAGCCACTGGAGTGTTAACAAGATTTTTTATTTTTAGCTCCTTTGACCTATTTTTCATCCGAGATGACCCATGTTCGAACTCATCCGAGCTATCACCTAGACAAGCATCGTGACCAAGTTTGGTGATAATTGAATCAAAATTGTGACCACTAGAATGTTAACAAGGGTTTTCCATATTTGGGCAGTGTGACCTAGTTTTTGACCCCATGTGATCCATATTCAAACCTGACCTAGAAATCATCAAAACAAACTTTCAGACAATTTACAGGATATTTGGATCAAAACAGTAGCCACTGAAGTGTTAACAAGATTTTTTATTTTTAGCTCCTTTGACCTATTTTTCATCCGAGATGACCTATGTTCATACTCATCCGAGCTATCACCTAGACAAGCATCGTGACCAACTTTGATGATGATTGAGGCAAAAATTCAACCATAAGAGTGTTAACAATGTTTTTGTATTTTTAGCTCCGGTGACCTAGTTTTTCATCCGAGATGACACATGTTCGAACTCATTCGGACTTTTATCTAGACAAGCAGTCTGACCAAGTTTGATGATGATTGAAGCAAAAATGTGACCGCTAGATTGTTTTAACAAGGTTTTCTATTTTTAGCGCCTGTGACTTAGTTTATGATCCTAGATGACCTATTTCCGAACTCATCCGTGCTATCACCTAGACACCTATAGGCGAGCATCCTGACCAAGTTTGATGATGAATGAGGCGAAAAAATGTGACCGCTAGAGTTTTAACAAGGTTTTTCTATTTTTAGCTTCTGTAACATACTTTTTCATCCGAGATGACCCATGTTCGAACTTATCCAAGCTATCAACTAGATAAGCATCCTGACAAAGTGTTAACGAACAAGTGTGGACGGGCGACGGACGACAGACGACGGATGACGGACATTCAACGATCCTAAAAGCTCACCCTGAGCTAGCTCAGATGAGCTAATAAATAAATAACCAAAGTGTGACGCTGGCGCCTGCCTAGTTAATACAATACCTCTCCTTATCTTTTCAACAAAAAATATAGCTAATAACGAATATATATGCCGCCATTTCGTGAAAGAATTACCTAAATCTAGGATCGTAGTCTCTACAAGTTGAAAATTTAAATGATGGGTAATTCAGGAGTATTCCATCCTCAGTGCCTAAATACTGCCACTTTAATTCCGGATTTTCTTGGTAATTCTTCTTCATTACCTCCACGATCCGGTTGTTTGGATACCGGATAGAACTAGGCGAGTTTTCGGATTTAGTTATGCATGCCTCATTCATGTTTACCTATTGCATAAAAAAGAACTGACAATAGATTCTTTTACTTTTTGAACGATTTAAATGTATTGATCTTAAACTTATGTTCCGTTTATTTTATTAGACATAGAAAATTACGAAACAAATTTAAATAGACATTGATTAATAGATGTATTCGGGCCGTTTGGGTGTACTATTAAGCATTAAATTCAAGTGCATGTACGTTGAGATATAAAGAAGCCAAATAGGTAGTCCAGGCATGCAACTAGACAAATTTAGAAGTCAAAGTTTTGAGATTTTACATGCAATCTCAATAAAATATAGTTTAATCCGTATGAATTCTACCTTAACATGCGCAATCTATCTTCAAAGACGGGCAAAGAAAAAAAAACAAGTTCGTTGATACCCTTACAGATTAATATAAATCCGTGATACCCTCAACTGTTAGGCGCCAAGCACGATATTACGGGACTTAAGTTTTTAATGATAATCCAGGTTAACTGAGAAGCATTTTCAACAATGAAGGCAGGTGGTTAAGGCGTCTGTCTTTCAGCCCAGGGTTCGTGGGTTCGAACCCTACTCGGGTTTCCTTATATGACATTAGTACTGGTTAGTTCTAGAAATCAGATTCAAAAGTGAGTACCGTGCTTCGAAAACGACTGTTGTAAGTCGTCCCTCTTGCTTGGCAACACTCGACAATGCTCGTAGACGTTCGGAAATTTCCAATCTCGTCTTCTATAGCCGTTTTCAGATTATTCAATGCTTGGATTGGACCATTAAATTTACTGCTCAATGAGGATGATATCTGAAACCAAATAAAACCTCTCGATAAAAACATAATACGACCTAATATCTCCTATCTTTATTCTTTATAATTATGTAAATACACTAATATAGTTATAAAGAGTTTTGGCAGGTTATATAATCATAATTATATAAACGGTTGTTTGCATAATAACCCGAGCTATTGATGAATTCATATATCATGCCAATAATCGTTAAAAGCAACTTATAACGCACAGAACATCAGTTCAAGCAAGAACGATCACCTGAGTAGAACAACCGACTTTCTTTAAGCATCCAGCTAGCTTCCTCACCTGAAAGAGTCCGAAGTCCCTGGCGGTACAATTTTACTATCTTTCGTTAAATTATTAAGGACAAAAAGATATGTCAATATGCAAGATATTTTCACATCTGTACATGTCAAGTAAATCAATTTATACTTCTATTAATTTCTGCACTCTAAAGTGCAGTAATTCTGCACTCTAAAGTAAAGTAATTCTGCACCCTAAAGTAATTCTGCACTCCAAAGTAAAGTAATTCTGCACTCTAAAGTAAAGTAATTATGCACTCTAAAGTAATTCTGCACTCTAATGTAATTCTGCGCTCTAAAGCAAAGTAATTCTGCTCTCTAAAGCAAAGTTATTCTGCACTCTAAAGCAAAGTTATTCTGCACTCTAAAGTAAAGTAATTCTAAGCATAATTTACCTCCGTTGCTAGGCTCGACCCATCCACAGTGGTGTCCGTGTATGTGAGAGAGTTGAAATGGTCCTGTAATAAAAAAAGAGAAGAAATATCTTAAATAGAAAACAATATTATGCACATAATATGTACGGAGTGACGACGTATATTGATAGTAATTTCATAAAACTATCATATCATGAACTGTGCTTTTGAAATCTAAATAAATTTATAAATTTAAAGTATTTTTTTTCATTGGACAATCGTGATTCCTTATTTTCTTTATATCTCTGGCTGTTGCACATTTATAAATACATAAAATTAATATAACGAAATATAATTTCAATAGAGGGTATATGGCACTTAAGATATGTTTTATGGTCATCTGGTCGTATATAAAAGTCCGTTTTCTACGTAAATTTCCACCAGCGACTCGATTAAACAAGAGCCCGGTTTGAGCCGGGTGATGCTCTCCGAACAGGTTTTGGACACAGGAAATTACACCTCTTGTAGTTTCAGAGTTATGTCCCTGGAAAAAGTTCAAAGTGCAATAATTCCAAAATTAGGCAAGGCAGAGTTACTGGTCTTTGCACTGCACTTCTAATCAATGTGATCTATCAACCTACAAAGTTTCTTGATGATATCTCTTATGATTTCCGAGTTATGTCCCGGACAACTTCAAAAAGTAAAACTAAACAAAGGGCAATAACTCCAGAATTAGGCAAGGCAGAGTTATGATTCTTGAGCACTGCACATCTACCCATTGAGATATATCTACCTACAAAGTTTCATGTTGATGTCTCTAATAATTTTACAGATATGTCCTGGACAAGATTTTTCAAAAAGGGAGATAATTCAAAAATGAGGCTTAACAGAGTTATGGTTCTTTTGCACTGCACCTTTACTCAATGAGATATATCTACCTACAATATTTCATCTTGATATCTCTTATAGTTTTAGAGTTATGTTCCGGACAAAGTTCTAAGTGTTAAAATTAACAAAGGGCAATAACTCCAAAATTAGGACAAAAAGAGTTATTGTTCTTATGCACTGCACATCTACCCATTGAGATCTATTCACCTATAATATATAAGACAACGGACGGACAGACGGAAGGACGGATAGACGGACAAGGCGCCGACTATATGCTCCCCGAAATTTTTCGGGGAGCATAAAAGGAAGAAATGAATCACTTTGTCTTTCAAGTCAAGATTACGCTTTATAAAATTTTTGACTTGTTATTCGCTAAAATTATTTTCAAAAAATCACTATATGGTCATCAAACTATGTTCTTAAAAAGACAAAGAATTATCGTTTTACGGAAGCGGAAAAGGGGGCATGGCATTCTGAATAATTTTCACTTTCTCGTGAGCAAAATATAATAAAAGAGAAAACAAAAAGAATGTTATCATGGTCCTTAATCGCTCACCTGGGTTTACAGGAAGATTTTCAAACATTTCTCTGTAAATACTAGCAAAAAAAGTCCGTTTTGGTAGTCCATCAACTATGAATCATTTCTATCTAATGATATCAAAATCAGACCAATAAATTTAACAATGTTGTTTTTTTCTTTAAATTAGTAAAATTATAAGAAAAAAAAACAGTTTCAAAGAAGATTTTTCAAAGGTTTTCCTTTATAAAAAATTTTAAAAAGAAAACAACAAATTGCAATCAAACCACTGTAAATCACTTAAAAAACCCATTGCAGTCAGTCACCTAAAAGTCGTTGATAAGGATGATTTTCATTGACTTCTGCATATACATGAATGACCCAATACCATAACTTCCATGTTTTTACCTAATTAAACTTACTTCAGAAATCTTGGACGTCATACAATGACCATTTCTGTGACAATACCAAACTCAAACAAAGCCCATCTTTTTAGAAGAATTTCAAATGTTTCATTATATATACATATTGCATCAGTAGTTTGCATTGGATATGCTTTTTAATTAAAACTGTGAACAAACGGACGGACGCCGCATTGTTAGTGATTATACAATAGCTCACATTGAACCATTTGTAAAAAATGTTTACAAAGCTATTGTGAGCGAAACACTTTTAACTTAACACTTAACTATCTGATATTACTTACTTGTATTTGGCTAACACCAAGGCCGTTGTTTGCAACATCGTCAAGTACATGTTTGAAGAGGGATGGGTCTAAAAGTCCACCAGAACATCTTGCCACCAGCCATGTGAATAATATCTTGTAGATGATTTGGATGAACATTGGGAAGCAGTTAACATGTATCACGAACGTTTATCTACTGAAATGAGCGACTAAATGTGTAAATAATACAGTACATTAAAGTTTATAATTCTATCAATAATAAATTTTTTAAGTATCGACTAGTTAAGAAATATCAGTAATAGTGAGACACAGTGACATCAGTCAAAGTGCGACTTTAATGTAACATAGTGAAATCAGTCCTAATGTGACATAGTGAAATACGTCTTAATGTGGCATAGTGAAATCAGTCTTAATGTGAAATAGTGAAATACGTCTTAATGTGGCATAGTGAAATTCGTCTTAGTGTGGCATAGTGAGATCCGTCTAAGTGTGGCATAGTGAATTCCTTCTTAGTCTGGCATAGTGAAATCCGTCTTAATGTGACATAGTGAAATCCGTCTAAGTGTGGCATAGTGAAATTCGTCTTAGTGTGGCATAGCGAGATCCGTTTAAGTGTGACATAGTGAAATCCATCTTAGTGTGACTTAGTGAAATCCGTCTAAGTGTGGCATAGTGAAATCCGTCTTAGTGTGGCATAGTGAAATCCATCTTAGTGTGGCAAAGTGAAATCCGTCTTAAATGTGACAAAGTGAAATCCGTCTTAGTATGGCAAAGTGAAATCCGTCTTAGTGTGGCATAGTGAAATCCGTCTTAGCGTGACATAGTGAAATCCGTCTTAGTGTGATATAGTGAAATCCGTCTTAGTGTGACATAGTGAAATCTGTCTTAATGTGACTTAGTGAAGTCCGTCTTAGTGTGGCATCGTGAAATCCGTCTTAGTGTGGCATAATGAAATCCGTCTTAGCGTGACATAGTGAAATCCGTTTTAGTGTGATATAGTGAAATCCGTTTTAGTGTGACATAGTGAAATCCGTCTAAATGTGACATAGTGAATCCCGTCTTATTGTAACATAATGAAATACGTCTTAGTGTGAAAAAGTGTAATACGTCTTAATGTGACATAGTAAAATCTGTCCTAATTTGTCATAGTGAAATACGTCTTAGTGTGACAGTGAAATCCGTCATAGCGTGATATAGAGAAATCCGTCTTAGTGTGACTTGATTTGGATAACCATTGGGAAGCAGTTAACATGTGTCACAATCGGTTATCTACTGAAAAGAAAGACTAAATTTGTAAATAATATAGAACCTTAAAGTTTAAAATTCTATCAAAAGCAATATCAATTGGAACTATAATAAATTTTTATAGTATCGACTAGTTAAGAAATATCAGTAATAGTGAGACACAGTGACATCAGTCAAAGTGCGACTTTAATGTAACATAGTGAAATCAGTCCTAATGTGACATAGTGAAATACGTCTGAATGTGACATAGTGAAATCAGTCTTAATGTGACATAGTGAAATACGTCTTAATGTGGCATAGTGAAATCCGTCTTAGTGTGACATAGTGAAATCCGTCTAAGTGTGGCATAGTGAATTCCTTCTTAGTCTGGCATAGTGAAATTCATCTTAATGTGACATAGTGAAATCCGTCTAAGTGTGGCATAGTGAAATTCGTCTTAGTGTGGCATAGCGAGATCCGTTTAAGTGTGACATAGTGAAATCCATCTTAGTGTGACTAAGTGAAATCCGTCTAAGTGTGGCATAGTGAATTCCTTCTTAGTGTGGCAAAGTGAAATCCGTCTTAGTGTGGCATAGTGAAATCCGTCTTAGTGTGGCATAGTGAAATCCATCTTAGTGTGGCATAGTGAAATCCGTCTTAATGTGACAAAGTGAAATCCGTCTTAGTGTGGCAAAGTGAAATCCGTCTAAGTGTGGCATAGTGAAATCCGTCTTAGTGTGGCATAGTGAAATCCGTATAAGTGTGGCATAGTGAAATCCGTCTAAGTGTGACATAGTGAAATCTGTCTTAATGTGACTTAGTGAAGTCCGTCTTAGTGTGGCATCGTGAAATCCGTCTTAGTGTGTGGCATAATGAAATCCGTCTTAGCGTGACATAGTGAAATCCGTTTTAGTGTGATATAGTGAAATCCGTTTTAGTGTGACATAGTGAAATCCGTCTAAATGTGACATAGTGAATCCCGTCTTATTGTAACATAATGAAATACGTCTTAGTGTGAAAAAGTGTAATAACGTCTTAATGTGACATAGTAAAATCTGTTCTTATTTGACATAGTGAAATACGTCTTAGTGTGACAGTGAAATCCGTCATAGCGTGATATAGTGAAATCCGTCTTAATGTGACATAGTGAAATCCGTCTAAGTGTGGCATAGTGAAATTCGTCTTAGTGTGGCATAGTGAGATTCGTTTAAATGTGACATAGTGAAATCCATCTTAGTGTGACTTAGTGAAATCCGTCTAAGTGTGGCATAGTGAATTCCTTCTTAGTGTGGCAAAGTGAAATCCGTCTTAGTTTGGCATAGTGAAATCCGTCTTAGTGTAGCATAGTGAAATCCGTTTAAGTGTGACATAGTGAAATCCGTCTTAGTGTGGCATAGTGAAATCCGTCTTAGTGTGGCATAGTGAAATCCATCTTAGTGTGGCAAAGTGAAATCCGTCTTAATGTGACAAAGTGAAATCCGTCTTAGTGTGGCAAAGTGAAATCCGTCTAAGTGTGGCATAGTGAAATCCGTCTTAGTGTGGCATAGTGAAATCCGTATAAGTGTGGCATAGTGAAATCCGTCTAAGTGTGACATAGTGAAATCTGTCTTAATGTGACTTAGTGAAGTCCGTCTTAGTGTGGCATCATGAAATCCGTCTTAGTGTGGCATAATGAAATCCGTCTTAGCGTGACATAGTGAAATCCGTTTTAGTGTGATATAGTGAAATCCGTTTTAGTGTGACATAGTGAAATCCGTCTAAATGTGACATAGTGAATCCCGTCTTATTGTAACATAATGAAATACGTCTTAGTGTGAAAAAGTGTAATACGTCTTAATGTGACATAGTAAAATCTGTCCTAATTTGTCATAGTGAAATACGTCTTAGTGTGACAGTGAAATCCGTCATAGCGTGATATAGTGAAATCCGTCTTAGTGTGACTTAGTGAAATCCGTCTTAGTGTGACATACAGCAGTGACTTTTGCAAGGCTTTTATAACTAGTATCCGAGTTATGTTTTATTGTCGTCAAAAGATTTGTCAAAACCACGATTCTTGCGTAATTTGTTAACCTAAACTTAAAATAAAACTTCTTGTATCTTGTATTCTGGAATATTATTCAAATTATTTCTTCTTTTGGGAAAGACTGTTTCTACTTATTAACGGTGACTTGAATAATTAACCAATCTAGTATTCGAGTTTCCACACAAGTGTAAAAAATATTTTACAGTCCGAAAACACTTGCTGTAGAACTCTTTGTAGACTTATCTATGCAAGGCGTAGCAGTATAAACTGTAATATTCAAGGCTAATTGTATTCTAGGCTGCTTAGAAACGTATTTTTAAGCTAAAATTTGGATTTCAGGCCAGGATTGGAGGCTCATTTAAGTAAATTCAGTAATTATTAAAGTTCTATAGTAAACTTCTTGCTAAAAGAAAAAAACGGCTTGTGTCTTACAAGGTGTGCACCCATACTTTGCCGTTTAAAAGGCTTATTCCTTGATGTTTCCGGACTAGTACCCGAGATGTGTTTAATTATAAATTGCTTTAATTCTAAACTGCATGAAAATAATTTAAGCTAAAATTCAGTTTCCGGAAATTTTGTTATTTTATTCTACTAGGTTGTTTTACAATTTAATTTTCTAGGCTTATTCTTGAGTTGTTTTTTCCAGACTAGTATCCGAGGTTTGTCTAATTATAAACTGCTTCAATTTTTAACTGCATTGAAAAAATTCAAACTAAAATTCATGAATTTTTGGACAAGTATCCGAGATCTATTTTATTCCAGGCTGTTTAACAATGTTATTTCCAGGCTTATTTTTAAGAGTTTTTCAGATAAGTACCCGAAGTTTATTTCAACCATTAATTCCAAGCTATGACGTGAGGTTTACGGACTAGTATCCTAGTTTTATTTTAACCATTTATTCCAGGCTATGTCCTGAGGTTCCGGACTAGTAGCCGAGGTTTATTCCAGCCATTACATTTGTTAATTCCAGGCTATGTCCTGATGTTCCGGATAAGTATCCGAGGTTTTATTTCATCCATTAATTCCTGGTTATGTTCCGAGGTTCTGGACAAGTATCCGAGATTTTATTTCAACCATTAATTCCAGGCTATGTCCTGAGGTTCAGGACTTGTATCCGATGTTTATTTCAACCATATGTTCAAAGCTATGTCCTGAGGTTCCAGACAAGTATCCGAGGTTTATTTCAACCTTTAATTTCAGGCTATGTCCTGAGGTTCCGGACTAGTATCCGAGGTTTGTTTCAACCATTAATTCAAGGCTATGTCCTGAGGTTCCGGACTAGTATCCGAGGTTTTATTTCAACCATGAATTCCAGGCTATCTTCCGAGGATCTGGAAAACTATAAAAGGTTTTATTTCAACCATTAATGTGTAGATTAACTCAGTGTTGCTTGTGCGTTAATTATAACTTTGTTTACCTGTGAACAGTTTGTGATAGACATATACAGTGGCAATAATTTCAACAGTCTTGCTTTATTCTATTTTTTCTCTTCAAAATATAACTTTACATATAAACTTAAGATTGTATCAAATGTTACTTAACGTGTATAAAGCTATAAAGGTTACATGTAGTATAAAAGAAAATTAAATGTATTTTAAAAAAAACAACAAAAAAACACTAAATAAATAAGTGAATAAAAATTACAAAATACCTTGGGAAAAAGAAAAAAGTAGAATTTTTCTTTTATTGTCCTAAAAGCAAATGGTACATGCACACAAAATTTAAAACCATACTGTAAGACTGAACAATTAATCTATGCATGTCTTAAAATATCTCGGTACAAATTTCTTGTGGTTGATATCAAATACCCTTTGTTATACCCTTCAAAGTTAGAGATACACTTATTAAAATAAATTTTGGCAAGAGGCGAACCGGCAAGTTTTTATCATCATATAATAATAATAAAAGTGATAATAATAATATAAAAATATAATAATAATAATAATAATAATAATAATAATAATAATAATATTTAAATAATAATAATAATGATAATAACATTTAATAGTAATAATAATAATCGTGATAGTGAAAATAAAGATAATAATTTTAATATTGATAATAATAATATTGATATTATGATAATGATATCCATACCTAATAAAAAATGAAAATTTAGACATTGTTAGACAGTCTGGAATAAAATAGTTCTCGGATACTTGTCCTGAAATTCATAAATTTAGCTGAATATTTTCAATACAGTTAAGAATTGAAACAATTAGATAAAACTTGGAAAAAAAACTTTTACGGAAAAATATAATGGAAATATAGCAAGATAGATGTGTACTTCAACATTGAAACACCTTGTCTCACTATGTCCACCAGATAGTAAAATATGCTAACCAGTTAAACTTAAAGTGAAAATTGCTGACCACTTATGTTAGATAAATAGACAAAAACTACGTTTTGACGTAAATCCCTTATTTTATAACAATGTTAGTTATAGAACAAATTCTATATCTTACAAAACTAGAAAGAAATGTGTCCATAGGACACGAGTGCCCCCACCGCGCCACTGGTCTGTCAATCTTATGACTCTATGTCAAATATTTTTTGAAAACTAAAAATCTTTTACTAAGTAAATGGCAAGAACTTTACAAATACTGAATAAATCCACAAACAAACCCCAAGGTGCATAAGTGCACATGCTGACCAACATTCTTGTAAACTTTCAGGTCTACAAGTGAAATACTTTTTAGCTATGCATGAACAAGTTGAAAATTGCAAATTTATACTACTGTAAGTCAAGGGCAATAACTCTAACAAAACTGAAAAAAATCGACATGCAAAGTCCCAGGTGCATAGCTTCACAGCGATGTGAATCATTATTCCTGTAATTTAGTGATGTTGATCAATATTCCTGTAAGTTGGTTGATTCTAACACAAGCACACAAGGAACAAATAACAAGATAAAAACGTTACTAAGTCAAGGGAAATAACTCTACAAATACTGGATAAATCCACAAGCGAAACACCAGGTGCACAACTTCACATGCTGAGCAACCTTCCCGTAAGGTTTAATGACTCTATGTCAAATCCTTTTTGAGTTACATGCGACACAAGTTGAAAATTGAAAAATTTTACTAAGTCAAGGGCAATAACACTAAAAATACTAAAAAAGAATCCACACGAAAATACCCAGGTGCACAACTACACACATGATGATCAACATTCCTGTTAAGTTTAATGACTATAGGTCAAATACTTTTTGAGTTACGTGCGACACAAAAGATGACGGACGGACGGACGGACGGAAGGACGGATAAGGGTCAATCTAAATGCCCGCCACTAAAGTGGGGGCACAACAATAAAATTAGAATTTAATAGGCATTACTTAAGTGATTTTAGCTGCATTTCTTTAGTGATAAGTGCTGACCGGTTTGATTTATTAATGAACTATCTATGTAGTCATCGAGAAAAGAAAATATGTCCTACTGACCAGTTAAATATCCGGAATCTTTTTATTTTTACACAGCTAGACTGTTTAAATTTACATAATCATCATTATCATTTTGAATTTCCATTACAAAAGATTATTTTTTACATGTTTTTGTAATATGATCTATAATTATAATTTGTTTTGTCTTTTTATATAAGTAATAAACAATTAGTTTTTACATTTTTGCATAACCACGATGGCCCTAGCGGTATTCCGTAAGAAACCTAGTAGATCAATATAATGCCAATGAATTTTTTTATTAGCCTATACAATGCCATGTATGTTTTTGAAACGAACAGATAAACATTACAATAATTATGGTAGTAGATATTTAAAATTTACCTAGCAAGTATCCGTCTTATATAAAACAAATAATAACAAAAATATCCTGTGATCTAGTTTTTTTTATAACACCCGTGGGTAAACACTAAACAGCTATATACGGTAATCCGATAGTCATTCTATATATTTTTATTTTTTAAGTAGTTGTGTAAAAAGAATGTTTACGGTCCAAAGACGTTTATATTTTACGCACATCGCGGTGAACATATACATGTATATATTTACGTTTACAAACGGAAATAGATTGTGTCGTTAGGCTGAATGAAAATGTTTCATTGAACACTGTTCAACAGCTAAAGAAATAGATATGAAGAAACGGATCTAACTGAGTCTTTATCAAATATCTGGTTTACATTTCAACATTTTAAAAACAGATAAACCTTTCATGTTTTATTGCAATTTTTTAAGTTTCGCAAATCATAATTACATTCATCCTATAATTGACATGAAAATAAATTCCCCGTATTTCTTCCATGACTCACACACATTTTCATTAGTGGTAAACAAAGCTACGCTCGAATGCGCAATGGATAGGGCACGATCAATATTTAAAATAATACAAAATATTTTTTACAGTAATGTTCAGTGGAAAACTTTCGATGTTAGCGGTGAAATACAAAAAGAAATCCCCTACATTTGTCATGTCACGGTATTGAATAAGTACTTTTAGCATAATAAAGCAGACAGGTTTTCTGTTCACAGTGCATTTTTCATTTGATTTGGAAAATTTTAGAGCATGATGGCAGATAGCAAAATAAGATTCCCCTGTTTTCGTCAAGTAAAATTGAACGCATAAACCTGTAACCATATCATTAATATTTTCCCTATTCCTGGCAGAACGGAAGTATTTTCATAACTATAATCAAAGGCCTGAAAACTAGAGTGGCTTACGGGTTTGATATAACTTATTTAAAGTGGGTGTTCATGATGTCTTGTAGTGAGAAAATAAGGCATCGCTTTCAGTACCATAGAGTCCTTCAAAACAACTTATTGCAACTATTTGTTATATATTTTAAAACAAAGTTACATTTTTCACTCTTTCAATCTGTTTTTGTTACTTAAATCTTCGTTGTACCTGTTTTACTAAAATAATGCCCGTTGTGCCCGTTGTGTCAAAAAATCTCAATTGCATATTTTAGTCATACCCACGTTAGAATTCTCTGCCCTTCATTTCAACATGTAATATTCATTCGCGTTGAGTTTCGAGTTTATTCAAATTGAAATAAATTTAATTTATATCGGTAACAATAACGAAAATGTTATGAAAAAAAATCAAACTAAAAGATATTTATTTCAAAGCACAAATAGTAAACTTTACAACATTTGAAGAGAACTTTTTTTGTGTAGTCCATGTTAAGAAATAATGAACTCTTTGCTGTAAAGATTATTAAATAACTAGATGGTTGTAAGCCATAAAAATGAAATACCAAGCAATAATGATGAAATAAAATGCGTATTTTCATTTTCCGTATTTACCTTTTAAAATATTATTTATTTCACTTCGGTCAAACATATTTTCCATTTTTTTTCCACTGGGGTCTTGTCGGACGACTTTCTTCTAAGTCTTTCAATAAAACAATTGAAGGGAAAGTCCTGCGAATCGTAAGGCCAAAAAAGTATATAATAAACAAAAAAATCAAGTATTTATTTTCGTCGATTGGTATGAAATATGAAATATTTTCGTAGCACTCGATGAAAATAAATCCCGTATCAATATTCTTGAATATCCTCTATAAACTGCACCATGCATATTTTGACCACTATTTGGTAATTTACGGGGTGTTGAAAGTGTCATTGATAATGTGTAAATTGCTTCTTTTCGGTTACTTCTAAATATTAAACATTCATGTACATTTTCAAAATTGTCATGAAAATAAGCATGAATCTGGAGGCGTGCTACTTTAACGTTTCCGTATATAGCACACCAAAATAAAAGTAAAACGTGGATAAAAGTAAATCGTAAAGTGAAGTACAGTGGTAAGTCGATTAGCGTGTTTACATTCATTTACAATGAAAGGAAAATCGATAGGAAGAATACAAGAACGGAGTTTGTCTTGTTTAATATTGTAATTATGATACACAACAGTTGTATATAGTAAAGACACCACATTTATAACTTGATCCGAGCCAGTGACAGCTGCATCAATAGTTTCACTATTTCCTACAAGTATGCTTTATTTTGCGGGCAAAAACAACAATCTTTACAACTACACTGTGCAATTTACGAAAATATAGTAAGTGCCATACAAGTGCCACTTTTGCGACTTCATAAATATATTTCACGGCCGTGCATATACATTTGTGTAAAGACATATTTACTTTATGTAAGCGTCACACAATAAGCGCGTCAACGAAAACAACGAAAAAGATTTTACCGTTAAAGTTTCTTTTCCAGTTAACAGTTTTATTTTGGTTATGTGATCAATAAAATAATGTATTCGTGTAGCTTCAATACTAAATTAATTGAACTCATTGAATGAAATAATACAAGACTGACAAGTAAATAAAAAGTGGTTAAAGCCAGAAGCCTGCACTAACAATTCACACAAAAAAAAAACGTCCTTCCAAGTATCACATTTAGGTTTTGCTAACCAGTGAAATACTAGTTTTTTATCGATGAAATATAATCCAGAAAACTCATACTTCATCACTTACATAGTATGACTGATTTAGCTTTGTCGAACTTTTTTTGGGGTATACTTTTAAATCTTTGTGATTCCTTAAATTTGTTAATTTACATACCATATATTTTAGCCGCTCTATGACAAAACCAACATTTTGCGTTTGCGACCAGCATGGATCCAGACCAGCCTGCGCATCCGCGCAGTCTGATCAGGATCCATGCTGTTCGCTTACAAACCCTTTAACAAGTAGAATCAAAGCACAGAAGGCGCTGAATTTGTTTGGGTCTCAGAATGTAAGAAAGGTGCAGGTTGTGAGATTATATGTATAGTGCCACCAATGCTTTCCAGCGTTTTAATTGTAGTAAATTGGCTATAAGACTAATTGCAACACTGATATTCAATCCAATGTTTATTTGACTTTAACAATTTGAAAAAAAAAATGAGTTACCTTTACTGGGATTTGAACTCCAGACCTCTCGCTTCCTAAGCGAGCCCGAAATCCCTTCAGCCACGGTGAATTTATATGTTAACGGGCTGAAGAAAACCATATTATTCTAAATTAGGGCTTGTAACGACTTTAACTGTTGTTTAACACAGATGTAAATAATCCTGGAGCTTACTATAAGCATTTATATTTATAAAGAATCAAAGGGATGCAAGTTCTGTGGTATTTTCTGATCTTTGCAATCTAAATCGTACTGTATATCTGTATGCATTTTCCTGTATAGGTTTATTTTTATGTATTATAATTCATTTTGCAAGGCACCAGAGTTTGATACATACGGAATTCTGCATAACTAGAGTTGCATCAAAAAATCATTTATGTTCATTTTTTACGACAGCCACACTTTATCCTTGCATATCATGGCTACTTCCTTAACAAAAACACTTAAAAAAGAATTTAACAAAAAAAAAAGTTTCCTCGATTGGGATTCGAACCCGAGACCTCTCACTCACTAAGCGAGCGCGTTACCACTGTACCACGGAGAATTATACACAGAAAGTCTGAATAACATCAAGTCATTCTAAATTTAGAACTTCCATTGCATTTCGGGTTTGTAATCCTTATTTGTATCATAGTTTGGGGACCTTTCTGTTGAAAAAGTGTCAGAGTTAAAACGTATACATATACATGCACAGTGCGGTAACTGGAGTGCAGGTATCAGTTACCCGCACTCCAGATAATGCCCGTTGATTGGTTCATTTTTGCTGGGGTTTACATATTGTGACGGCAGAGAAAGGGAAAGGGGCAGAAATATCATATTCAAATGCTCATTCATTGGTTCATTTTTTCTGGGGTTTCGTATTATGACAACAGGGAATGTGCTGCCATGTTTGACTATGATACAAAAGAGAAAGAACACCAAAACACTCGGCAATCTGATTTATACTCGGGGGCTACGCCCCCTCGTACAAATCAGATAGCCTCGTGTTTCGGTACTCTTTCTATTACTAATTTCGAGGTATTTTGTTCAGGGTAAACCTGTTGTTTAAAATTGAAGTAAATATTTTAGCGAAAATCCTCTCGCCCAAACAGTCCGACATGTAGAATCTATATATTCCACTACTCGGTTTGTGTAGTATTCGGTAATAAATAGTATTTTCATTGATAAAATCATATTCATCCGCGAAATTTGTGATTGTGCATTTATTGACAATTCTATAAGCCAACGCTATTGTTTAACTTTAAATGCGTTGTAATTTGTTGGATACTTGTAACAAAATAAAATATTTCTTTCTTTTAAATCGCTAGTTTTAAGCTGTTTTGAGAACTACTTGTTGTTAGGTTTGTCGTAAACTTCTGTGTCAGAGATTGAATGTCCGCTTTGTATTTAGTTATTTTCGATCAGAAAATACAATAAAACAATATTAGAAATCTTCGACCATTCGGGAATTACTTTGCTTGAAAATTGATGCGCCTGTCTTTGACCATCTTTACGCAGTGATCTCCCCTGAATTTTTCGGCTTTAGTGTACATACAAAAGGGAAGTAACCGCTTCAAAAAGTGGACTACTTTTGGCATTTGCAATTAACAACATCAGACTCTGAAATTTCGCTACCATTATTTGTTTGGTCTGACGACCCAAACAAATAATCAAAGCACAGAAGGCGCTGAATTTGTTTGGGTCTCAGAATGTAAGAAAGGTGCAGGTTGTGAGATTATATGTTTAGTGCCACCAATGCTTTCCAGCGTTTTAATTGTAGTAAATTGGCTATTAGACTAATTGCAACACTGATATTCAATCCAATGTTTATTTGACTTTAACAATTTAAAAAAATGAGTAACCTTTACTGGGATTTGAACTCCAGACCTCTCGCTTCCTAAGCGAGCCCGAAAACCCTTCAGCCACGGTGAATTTATATGTGAACGGCCTGAAGAAAACCATATTATTCTAAATTAGGGCTTGTAACGACTTTAACTGTTGTTTAACACAGATGTAAATAATCCTGGAGCTTACTATAAGCATGTATATTTATAAAGAATCAAACGGCTGCAAGTTCTGTGGTATTTTCTGATCTTTGCAATCGTACTGTATATCTGTATGCATTTTCCTGTATAAGTTTATTTTTATGTATTATAATTCCTTTTGTAAGGCACCAGAGTTTGATACATCCGTAATTCTGCATAACTAGAGTTGCATCAAAAAATCATTTATGTCCTTTTTTACGACAGCCACACTTTATCTTTGTATATCATGGCTACTTCCTTAACAAAAACACTTAAAAAAAAGAATTTAACAAAAAAAAAAGTTTTCTCGACTTGGATACGAACTCGAGACCTCTCACTCACGAGGCGAGCGCGTTACCCTTGTACCACGGAAAAGTTATACACAGTGTGTCTGAATAATATCAAATCATTCTAAATTTGGAACTTCCATTGCAGTTCGGGTTTGTAATCCTTATTAATTTCGAGGTATTTTGTTTAGGCTAAACCTGTTGTTTATAATTGAAGTAGATATTTTAGCAAAAAACCTCTCGCCCAAACGGTCCGGCATGTAGAATCTATATATTCCACTACTCGGTTTGTGTAGTATTCGGTAATCAACATGGCTTAAAATAGTATTTTCATTGATAAAATCATATTCATCCGCGTAATTTGTGATTGTGCATTTATTGACAATTCTATAAGCCAACGCTATTGTTTAACTTTAAATGCGTTGTAATTTGTTGGATACTTGTAACAAAATAAAATATTTCTTTCTTTTAAATCGCTAGTTTTTAGCTGTTTTGAGAACTACTTGTTGTTAGGTTTGTAGTAAACATCTGTGTCAGAGATTGAATGTCCGCTTTGTATTTAGTTATTTTCGATCAGAAAATACAATAAAACAACATTAGAAATCTTTGACCATTCGGGAATTACTTTGCTTGAAAATTGATGCGCCTGTCTTTGACCATCTTTACGCAGTGATCTCCCCTGAATTTTTCGGCTTTAGTGTACATACAAAAGGGAAGTAACCGCTCCAAAAAATTGGACTGCTTTCGGCATTTGCAATTAGCAACATTAGACTCTGAAATTTCGCTACCATTATTTGTTTGGTCTGACGACCCAAACAAATAAAAACTGATAGCGAACAGCATGGATCCTGTACAGACTGCGCGGATGCAGGAATGTGCAATTAACGTAAAAGTAACGCCGAATCTGTGCAACGCTATCGCCAAAACGAATAACACAGTAAGTAAACGAACCAAATTTTTTTATTCTAAATAAAATTTAAAGATATGAATTAGCGCATACGGCTGCTACGACATTATACTTTAACCAGCATTACAATTTTTTTTCAGGAATATGTTTACTTTTTTTAGATCATTCGTGGGAAAGACAACCTGATTACCATTTTGATGGTGACATTTGTGTCTTGTCAAATAAATATATACATTTAAAACATCATTTTTTATGTTCTATATACCTAAGACATTTGTCAAACTACAAGTGTCGTATAACAATAAAAGAAAGCTGGTAAAATAAGATTTAGCTACTTTCAATGAGATAACCGCCGTTGCTTCAGCGCTTTTTTCACGAATTCAGCGTTATCTCGTAAAAATGGCCTCAATTACTTTTTATCTGCTATATTAAGTGTAATTTGGCACGAGTAGATTGGAAAATGTCTCAGGTACACCGAATATAATTATATATATGTTATTGTATTTAAAGATATTAACGAAACTAAAAATCGCCATCAAACCGTGAAGAATAAACATTTTCTTGGAAATATTTTTGATGATGTCTCAGCAACCGTGTACTCTAATTCATTTCTTCCAATTTGGTGTACAATAAAAAGTATTGGTCTATTTACTTATCGCGGTGCTATTTTAGCCACTAAATCGCACACTTCTGCGTTACTTTTGCACAATTCCTGCGTTATTTGCCCATTCCTGCGTTACTGGATATGCACGGTGACCCAGGTGTTATGGATTCGAGCTCTATTTGCGCCACGGCCATGTTTCCTTTTAGGACACAAATACTTGTTCGTGCCAGATACCGGATCAGAAAACGGTCATAACATGCTTTAATCTGTCACCACAAAGCGAGCTCAAATCAAGAAAATCTAATATCATAAAGTACATTTGATATACCCCCCCAATGACAACATATTACCACTAGAGAAATTTGAGGTGTTGCGATGCTCCCGTTCGGTTTGTACATATGCATTGCATGAAGGTGGCAAGGATGAAAAGAAAATAAGTGTAGAAGTCACATTGCTTCTAAGAAAGTCATATGTCCACCTATATACATTTAACTGTTTTGTTGTTGTTGTTTTTAACACAGCAACGGTCAGATGGCGTTTTTACAGCTTTACTGGTAGAAGAAAACCACATGTTCCCCACTGAACATTATTTCTGGCACGTACATCTACTTACGTTCCGTAAGCTTTTTGGACACATGTAGCTTTCACACATAATGGAAACCCAAGTCCTAGCGGATTTCGAGAGAACAGCAGGGAGGGGCAAGTGAATTTAAAGTCAATGCCCATTCGGCCAAGAATATCCCCGGTGCATTGTGTCGGTTTATTCGCTAGTTGCGCATTACAAAAGAATCACCAGTCATCTTGAGAAAAAAAAGCTTTATAAACAATGGGATCTGATCATGAAAATTTCAGAGTCAGGTGACAAACCCAGTAAATGCCTAATAGTTTCTAAAAATTTATTTAATAAAGTGTAAGGATATTAGTAAATAAACAAAACAAGCATTTGAAAACAAAGTTGTCTATGAAATCACAATAGCAAAAAGATAAAGAAAGTTAGTTGAGTCTAAAAAATATCTCAAAATTAGAAAAAGTGCGATAAATTCACTGTTTGATCAAAAATATGTTGTTTGTTTTAAATCCACTCTAGAATACAAAATGAAACTTTTGAGGTATAGTTTTTCAAATTACCATGTTAATGTTACCTTATTATGAATAAATAAAATTATCTAAAGTTTTTCCTAGCAATCGTTTGTATGACTTTAATTCGTCATACAGCTTTGTTAAAATATAAAACTTTTTAATATATAGTTAATGTAACTTCATAATTCTGTTATGAAAATAATTATCAAAATATTTTAAAGGTACAAAAAATAAAGCTTTTTACCCATAGTATTCTGTTCTAATGTTTAATGTTTTCACATTTTAAAAATTCGATAACAATTTTTGTTTGTAAATTTGATATTAAAACATAATTAAATCACAAAAAGACAATTGGTGTATATGAAATCAAGGGACGGAAAACATAATTCATGCTATCACAGATATGCTGTAAAAGGTAAAAATATAATAAAAAATCTCTTGAAAATGGAAACAAAAATGTTATTTAAATATATAAATATATGTTAAAGAGAATACATAAAATATTAAACAAGAACAACAAAATAAAGGAAACGTGTGAAATACACAAAGTAAACATAATGTTAATATCTCTGTTCGTGTCAGTATTTCTTCATTTTCATAAAAGTTGGTTTTAACTCATTGCTTTTTTTCATTTTTCAAATTGATACAGCACAATTTTCTAGCCGTCACAGAAATCTTTTTATCTTCATCATTCAATATAATTGTAAAATTTCCTGTTTTGTTATTTAATTTCTGAAAAGCAACACAGTTACTGAGTATCTAAATCGTCTAGAATATTGCTTAGATTTGATTGTGTATTTGATTGCCGCCTACTCCTTGAGCCTAAACTCATGGAAGACGCTGGCTGACGAGGTATCGATATTCCCTTTGCAGCAACAGTGGGCATCCTTGTATCGCTTCCTCGTCCGCTTGAAGTGTCTGTCGAAAACTTAGGCTGAGGAGTATCTCTATTTCCAAAAATGCTTGTTGGTGCACTGAATTTTGGCAACGGGGTTCCCCTTGCGCCAAAGATACTCGTTGGAGCAGAACTATTACCTGGCGGTAATGGCGTGGAAGCTGGGGTTGCTAACGCACGAGTTGTGCTTGGTTGAGGTTGAGAAAACATTTTGTTTGGAGGATTTATAGGATGTGGTGATGTCGTCCCAGCATTTGCACGGGCTTTTTCCAACATTTTTGTGACGGCTGCCTGGCTTCCTGATGCTGCTGAAACGGTTGCTTCCTTCTTATCCTTAGGTTTTTGTTTATCATTAATGTTTCCGCTTGGCGACGAATTGACTTTAATGTTTATAGGTTCGGGTGAAACTGACCCTTTGCCACTAAGGAAACTTAATGGAGACCAACCTCTACTTGAAGATGGTGTCGGGCTACGTCCAAATTCTTGCGTACTTGTCGGTGGAGATCCTATAAACATAATAGGAGATTCGAAGAATCTAGAGTTGATGGTTCCCCTTGATGTCATAGAGGCTGCAGACGACCTACCATCCTCTGACCAGGTAGGAGATGCTATTCTCGTGCTTGTTGTTGACATAAAAGATGTTTCACGCGTGCGTAGTTTTGTTCTGTCGAATTTTCTATGTGGAACCTCGGAAACCAATTCTTCTTCTTCTAATGCTTGATTTCCTTTAGAGTGTTTTTTCTTGTACACGACAACAATGATTATTGCTGCAATCAACAGAATGACAATTACAATAAGAATGATGATCCAGAACGGGAACTCGGAAGAAGAGGAATCTTCTTCTTCTTCGCAGAAATAGAAATAATCCTCAAATGAGCACTCGGATGCGCCTGTTACCGATACACAGTAATAAATAAGTGAGTAGAGTAATATTTTCATAGCATCTTCTGAGCCTGCTCTTTCATATTCGCGAATGCATGCTTCTAGGTAGAAATCTTTAATACTGCTCGTCATAGAAGCACAATTATCTGTTAATGTCTCGTTATTTATGACTTCAAGACAATCTCTCGCTGCATTGGTATAATCGGGTACATCAAAACGACTATAGGAAGTCAGTCTGTCCGGAAGGTGAACGGCATGTATAGGAATCGATGATGGTATCCACATTTCTTCAGTTGAAGAACCTTAAAAAAGAAACCATACATTAATATGGAAAATATTAATCTTATCTAACATAAGGCTGAAAATTTAAAAAGAAATAAACTCATCCTTTTATCAGCATTGCGAATTTAGTTTTTTTAGATTCTTTTTTTATAAGAACAAATATAACTTTTCATTACATTTATAATTAAATAACATATATTTATGTTACCAACTTATGGTTATGCCTTTTATTCATACACTGTATTTTCATAATAGACAAAACTCATGCTAAGTACCTGCTAATGTCCCTGTGGCAGATCCCGATTCCATACCAGAAGTGCTGTCATATAATGTCATTGATGACGTTGTTCCTTCACCTTCATCAAATGGTAGTGAAAACATCAGACTTTTATCTGATTCTGTGGCGCTGCAGTATGCATGCATGTCCTCCCCTGCATCTTTATCAGTTGCATGTTTTGCCCATAACCGTATACAGTCGATTGTTACACTGGCAGATGATGAAGCAGATATTGTAATCTGCTCTACATTAATTGTGGCTCCAGTATTCACGTCAGGTATAGAACTACTTTCTGATGTGTATTCCGTCATGAGATAAATTGTCAATGTTCCATCAGATGATTGCCAGGTTAAAGATATATAATACCAGGTATCAGTATTGATTGTTAGCGAAGTTGTGTACGTACTATCCCAAATGATTTCTAGATTGCCAGAATTGACCTGAAGAATAAGATTCTGCGAGCCAACGTCGGTTGAAAGAAGAGAGTACGATGTGGCAGATCGTTTTTTCGATAATATATTTGATTTTGACCAAAAGCTTATTGTAAATTTAGAATCCAAAGGAGTTAAGGTTAACCCACTGATTGTGAAACTCTGACCTGTTAATAACTGTAAGGCGTGACCTCCAGACGACAGACTCTCAGACCCATGTTCATGAGCTATTATGGCGTCATCTGTACTTACAATAAAGTTTGCCCTCAAACATTTTCCGGCATAGCTTCCGGTTATATCATTTTGGTTTAATGTATCAGTTTCATCTTTACACTGAATGTCGTTTGTCCAGGAGCCGTCGGCTGATCCTAACAACCCTTCATTATTGCTGGCAATATCTGACTGAATATCAGCTGTTGCAACAAGTCCAAAGTTTGAGTCAAATATTATTAATTTCGAACTTTTAAAAGTGATTTTAATGAATTCTTCCTCTGTCCATTCCACTCCAATACCACTTGATGATTGCGTAATTGGAAAACTTAATTCTGTCCCCAGAAGATTGAGCGTTACATTTGTACCAGGATTGTGTTGGATGATTAATGATGCACTCCCAACTCTCATTGAAACTTCTTTAAGATAACGACAAGTATACGTTCCGACACACGGCAGGAAAAGTGCTTGAATATTAACTGAAGAAGATTTTATAATTGCATAGACACCCGGTGTAGCGTGAGTAAGTGAGACGCCATCGAATGTGCTGATGTATGATCCATATATTATTCCTGCATAGCTTGATTTGGATGATTGCGCAAACTCACAGTCTTTTCCAATCCAGTTACTAGAACAAGATTCACATGCGTATGTTCTAGGCATACTCATATTTGATGATGACAAGTAATTAGTCCAGAACTCTGCTACGGTTTTGGAATTAGAATAATGTCGTGGATGACAATTACAGATGCCAATTTGAGAATCACATACGCCGTATGTGTTGCAACCACCTAGGTTGCCAGAGGGGCAAATTTTATTGCAAGTTAATCCCCAGTGTGAATCATAACATATACATGTATCATTGATAACATTTCCAAAGTAACAGTTGACATCACAGTTATTACCACCTGCACCAATATAATCTGTCAAAGATTCCAAGTCACAACTCTCTTGTAGTGGATTCGTCGTTGAATTTTCCGCACCCATATACAAATCAGCATATCCAGCCATAACAGCTTCTGCTTGAGTATTTTCATCTGTTTTTGAAGATTCAAGAATACACAGTGCATTATGTATAGATGTGAGACCTTCGACGCTTGAGCCAGAAATTGATGACGACATATCACTTATCAAGCCATTACACAATTCTGTAGCTTTTTGAAAAGTTGCTGCTAAAATTTCGTCTCTTGTAGTGAGTTGAGGTGTGTCGAGATTATCATTCTCTGTAAGATCTAAACTAGATTTAACCCATTTTGGAGGATTCTGTGCGTCTATGGCAACCATATTCTGAACACCTCTGTCGTTATATGCCGTTAGATCAAAGCCTTCATTAAAATTCCAGTTATGGAAAACGTTGCTTGTGCCATCAGTGATCGTTACTCTGAAGTTACTTGTGATAATTGTTGGGATTATGGGGGCGGGACCAAATTCGCACTTCGTCTATGTACCCCGTGAAATCCCCCATTGCAATATCGACGTCGAGTCCTGGAGTTATTTGACCTAGAGTCAATGTACCACCATTTGTAAATACTGATCCAGGAACAGGTATAGCTTTAACCGTGGAAGTACCTACAAACATATACATAAATATATTTTCGACCTAAAATGTTTTTATGTTAAATAAACGAATAAATAAACAATTTTAACTTTTTTTTCTACATTTTTTCTATCTCAAAATCTTGATGATATTGCCTTTCACAGTTACCGATCAAAAAGACTCTTTAAGTAATCAAACAAATAATGTAGTAAATCATTCATAAACTGCAATAAAAATAATTAGAAAATTACAAAACAAATCATAAGCACTGCAATAAAAATGTTGATCATACTTACCATTCTCGTCTGTGAGATACATTTCTAAAATGTCAACGTCATCTCTCCAAGCCAGGCTTATTTGGTTCCATGAACTTGTTAAAAGTGGCATGCCTGTAGTATAGTAAACGTCATTTACTACCATAATGAGTCCATCTTGATGATTTATTAGAATTATGTATTCACCATCGAAATGATATGTTAGAATAATTCCTCCTGTTGTCAAAGGATGTACATGTAGTTCTAATGTGAAATCGGATTCAGGAAGAGAAAGTCCAGTCACAGATACACCAGCTCCGGAATAGTTGAAACAGTTTGGAGCCATGGTTGCGGGATATTTTTCTTCTATTCGAGAAATAAACGACTGGTCTGCGAAAATTGCGTTATCAAGATACATTTCAAAAGCACTTTTTGTTTGTGTCATTTCACAGTAGTCTGGTATGTCTTGTGATGCATCAGTACAAATCGATTCTCGACTAACACTACAATTAGCTGATTTAATCGCAACAGAGGTATCGCAGGCAGTCATTAGGCCATCAATTGTTGAACGGCGACTATCCCATTCAGTCTTTGGTAGTGATATAGTTGCTAAAAGTCTATCACTGATTGATGACACTTTCACAATTAAGTCAGAATTATCTACTGTTACACTCAGAGATGCTTTTGTCACTAATTTTATGGACACAAAGCCTAGTGTCAAAGAATCAAAAACATTAATTTCTCCCGTTGCTGTCATGATTTCAACCCTTGGATTTTTTTCTGCTTTTGTATATGCCTTGTGGCTTATATAAACCTTTTCATTGCCATGAATGATTAAAACTCCTACAAGACAAAGATGAGAAACTGCATCGGACTCACAAACTGAAAATCGTCCATGAAGCTCAATATCTAGGTTATCTATAGATAAAAGGCTGAAGTACCCCCTTAGAGGTACATCCAAAATTGCACCGTCAAACATTAAAAATTGTCCAATCAAATTGACCTGTGCTACAAGAATTTCATTACTGTCGATTGGTTGGTAGGATACATCAGTGTATTGTAAACATTCATCACCAGACCACCCACTGTCACAAGTGTTACATTCAGAACCTGTCCAATGCCCGTTACATTGGCATTTTCCTGTCACGTCACATTCCCCGTTTCCATTACAAGGATTGATAATGCCACCTGGGCAAACGTTATCACACTGGTTCCCATAATAACCATAATAGCAAACGCACACATCATTTTCTGTATAGCCAAATGCGCAACCGGAACATTTTTGACTCAACCATCCCGGATAGCTTATGTCAAGCCCACATAGTTCGTCATAAATGCTTGACGTGGTTCCTCCCGTAACCCCGCATACTGATGTATAATCAACCATGGCCATTGTCGTGTCGGTTACATTTTCAGTGTTGGTTGCTGTTATCATGCATGTTTGTTTATACCACCATCTTATAAAATTAGAAACACTTCCACAATTACTGGAAACTGTAGGTGAATCAAAGAATAATGAACATATTGTTTCTACCTCTGGATCTATATCAACTGTTGCATACGCTTCATTAACGGTTTCTCTTAACGCATGTAGGCTCAAATCAGAAACAGTCCATGATGGGGATTGCCAAGGAGAAGTGGGTAAAATTATATTAATGCCATTTACTAATTCAAAGGCTGTATTTCCGACCCCTTCAGAAAATGTTACTAATGAGGCAAGTTCTGACATAAATCCCGATTCTTTTGTTCTTAGAAGATGTGCCTGGTATATTAATTTTTCTGGAATTGCATTTTTCCAAATAGTAAACTCATCAATCAAACCAGAATAAGTTTCTGAATTATAAGTGTATTTTGCACTATTCACAGATGGTAAGTATTCTCCTAACATAATAGTTCCGCCACTTTCAAAAATATTAGGGCAATCAAATGAATGAATTTCGCGCGCGATTTTTGAATTGTTACCAAACAAATAGATTTCTACTTCTTTTGCATCTCTTCTAAATGTTAAAATTAGCTGATTCCATACATCTAACTCAGCCGAAAAAGTTGTTTCAAGTATTGAATTCAAATATTGGATTTTAATTGGATCCGTATTGAAAATGGCAAAATTTGTAGTTTTACTGTATGAAAGTAAATATCCACCGTAACTTGCTGGTTTGAAATACATCGATATACTTATGTCGATTCCTGTAGTGGAAAATCCTGAAGGGTAAGATATCTTTTTGGACAAAGCAGCTGTTCCATTGAAATTAAGAGCATATCCCGTTATAGAAGAACCATCACCAACGGGAATTTCCAGTGCTTCCAAGATGATACTGCTGGTGAGGCGGAAATTGTTAGTAACATAATCAGAAATTTCACCCACTGTCAAAGATGAGTAGTCCACACCACCACTGCAATTGCCAAATACTCCTGTTCCCTGTTGACAAACGGTTTGGTCTGTTGTTATGGCTGCTTGTAGAAATTGTTCCTGAGTAAGTACGTTGACAGTAAGGCTCCCAATACTTGTGACTTTCACACTTATTTCAGTAAGTGAACTTTGAGTAACTTCCAATGTTGGACCAGATCCATAGGTGTTTGTTATATCGTTCAGTTCTGTCAGAGTACCATCTATGTATAATAAAGGCCTATACCCTTCACCAGCAGGTGCAATCACAATGCTGTTTGTATCAGAAACCACCGAGATAGCAGCAATACACGAGCCATAGTGACAACTCACTTGGTAAACTTGTATCTTTACCTGTAAGAATGAAGAGTAGAAAAGCATAAATGCCCCAGCTTCTCCAATAAAAGAAATCTGTTGTCCTTCAAATGTCATGTAATAGCCGTTGCTTGACACTGCTGCAACTTTTCTTGATCCTGAAGCAAGTGATGTTGTGCTTAGTATACTGCAGTCAGGTCCCATCATCGAGCCATCTGAATCCGAGGAACACGAAGAACAATCACTGTTTCCTTCCCAATTCCACCAGCAATCGCAACTACCGTCCGATCTGCACACCCCATGACTACTACATGGAAATTCTGAATCGCCAGGACAAACTGCGTCACAATTTGTGCCAAAATAACCACTAAAGCATTCACATGTTCCATTGTCATATTCAAACCCAAAGGCACACTCCGAAGTACACAATGTACCGTTTTTCACTGTACCTTCTAGACCATTGCAATAGGTTATTATATCAGAAGATGATACATTATGCTGAGATTGACACATGTTGAGCATATCAAGTATAGCGTTACTTCCCGACTTCTCATCGCCTGATACGGATAAAATCTGGAGACAAATAATGTAGTAAGATTCTTTCACAGAGTTAGAGATATTTTGACAGTCTGTACGATTGAATGCTGAATTGCAAATTGCATAAGCCTGAGTTTCAGTTGCTGTATCTTTAAAGTAGATTAATGCAAAATAAGGAGAATTCGTGCTAGAATATTCAAGATCGGATATAAACCATTCGGGCGACTTCCATGGATATTCTGGGAGTGAAACTTGTACATTTGAAATACTATCTGATGTCAAAAGGCCATCCCCTTCATCAAATTGTAGAGAAAACAGAAGGCTTTCTGTAGGAATTGCAGGGTCCATGCCCCAAAGTTCAGTCACCTCGCTTTCCGATACAATAACATTCCAAATCAAAAAGTTTTCTATACTTCCCTCAAAACCAGAAGGTATCGAATATTGCCTACTATCAGATGGAGCTTGCCAGTGTCCTATTGTCAGAATTCCAGTGTTATTAAAAATGCCAGATATAAGTTCAAAACTCCCACTTGTTGAGACGGCTGAATCTTTATCAAATACAAATACAGTTGCTGTTCCATCTTCATTGCTATATGTCATTACAATTTTGTTCCAGAAATCTTCATTGAGTTCTAAGCCTGTATTAAACACTGTTTCATTATCAGCTGAGTATGTATGGATTTCGAGAGAAGATTGTCCCGACACAAAAATGAGGGAAACATCGCTAGTAAAGGAGAAAAGGACACCCCCATCATTTGCTTCATTCTGTTTAACTAAAAGTTCTATTGTTATTTCTGATGTAATGCTGGTATCAATGTTAAATGTGTGAGTCAGACTTGATTTACTAAAGCTTAGCCCGTAGCCTCCTTGTGTTTGATATTTGTATTCATCGCTAGGGTAGTGAATGATGCTGTTACATTCGTTCACCTTAAATCTTGTTATACTAAATTCGGTTTCGGTTCCAAATGAATGTTCAAAACTCGTTAATAATAACGTGTATGAGCTTTCTGCAACTTGAGCCAATTGTACTTGATATGCATTGTTGCAAGCATCAAAGTCAGGAACAATGGCGCTATAGATATGTTCAAGTTTGTTCGTGATATTTTCATTCATACCTCCACTGAGTAATCCTGACGTATGTCCTACATAATTATTTGGAACTTCGGTCTTGAAGTGCAAATACTGTTCAACAGTTCTTACATGAATAGTAATAAGATCTTTCACCATTATGATCACCTCAAAAAAGTTTGTTCTGTACACTTTAAAACCATCAAAATATCTAGGATTGTCTAGGACTTCTAAAAGACTGTTTATGTAAACGATGGGCTTCGAGTTGAATATTCTTCTAGCCTGAATTGTGATAGTTGCAAAACCTGTCGTACTGTCACCGATTCGTGCTGCTAAAAATGACATACATGAGTAGTTTTGATAACATGTTACAAATTTTCCGTGAATGACTACATTACTAGAAATTGCTAATAGAAGAAGTTCTCCTTGTGTTTTAACCACATGGCTAATTCCGTCTAAAGTATACAACAATCCCAACTGACCAACGCTTGTAAATGAAAGGCTAACATCAGCATTTCTTCCATCAATAGCAATGTCGCAATTAGAGGAATACCAACCACCTGTACATTCACTGCAATCATCAGACCCCATCTTACTTATTGGGCAGTTGCATTTTCCGTTTGTTTGGTCGCATGTTCCAAATCCACTACAAGGTTCTTCGACACCACCTGGGCATATTGCAGAGCATGTTTCATTCCAATAGCCATCATCACATTGACATTTAGATGAGGAAGAATCACGGGATCCGAAATAGCACTCAGGACTACAAGATTCATCCATATAAGGAAACATATTAAATTCGTTCTCAAATTCCGAACAAGTATTTTCTGCTGGCCATACATCAAGATCAAGATAGTCTTGACAGTCCTCAGCAAAACTAGATATTGCAAGTGCTCTTTCTTCTCCATCATTATCGGCATCTTCACAATCAAATATTGCTTCGTTCCTTATTTCTGTGGAAACTGTACTGCAAATTCTGTAAAAAAAATACAAGGAATAAACATTTACCTAATGTCATCACAAACCCATCAAATCATTAACTAGAATTCCGCGATTCGGATGTGTCGCCTTGTGAACAATATAGTAGGAGAAATGGCCAGGACAAAAATGAAATTTAAAAATCAACAAAGGGCAATAACTCAAAAAATAAGAAATGCAGAGCATCAGTTTCTGTGCACTGCACTTCTTATCAATAACTTGAATAAGATCTATCATCCTATGAAGTTTCAAATCTAAAGCCTTAATAATTAATGAGAAATGGCCTGGACAAAAATTAAGTATGAAAATTAACAAAGGGCAATAACTCAATAAATAAGAAGTGCAGAGTACCGGTTCTTGTGCACTGCACTTTGGGTCATTTTAAAAGGCATGCATACCAAGTTTGAAGTCAATCCGTATTAAAATGACTGACTTATGCTCCAGACAAGCTTAAGGGGACGCTGACGCCGACACCAACGACGACAACGATGCCGCCGACAATAGTAACCCCAATTTGTCGCCTTGAAAAAACAAAAACGAGAGCCGGTTGAAACGGGTGATGCTCCCAAAATAGGTTTAAGACACAGGGAATTTCTTTTTAGTTTCATAGTTATGTCCCGGACATCTATTAACCTATACAATTTCTTGTTGATATTTCCTGTAGTTTCTGAGTTTTGCCCGGACAAATTTCAAAGTGTAAACATGAACAAAGGGCAATAACCTCAAAATTAGGCAAGGTAGAGTTATAGTTCTAAACGTTGCATTTCTTAACAAGATCTATCTACCTACACAATTTTTTGTTGATATTTCCTGCAGTTTCAGAGTTTTGCCCAGACAAATTTCAAAGTGTAACAAGAGCGATCAGTGATCATATGTGTCGCCTCATCATGGCCAATTTCATGTTGGGACAAGTTTTGTGACAGACGGACAGACAGTGCACAACTAGACTTGGTACTGATCATTCCTGTAAAGTTTGGATGAAATTGCACCAGAAGTTTATGAGGAGTAGTCCGGACAAGATTTTGTGTATCTGGCAACACACAGAAAAAAAGACCTTTTTATCAAAGGGCCATAACTCGGCTAAAATCATTCAACCGGAAAACTTGTGCAATATGCGCAAGGACTTGAGCTACAGATCAATCATGTAAAATTTCATTGAAATTGCATTAGTGGTATAAGAAAGGTAGACCGGACAAACTTTAAAAATAAAAATGATTAAAGGGCCATAACTCTGACAAAAACCATTGAACCCAAAAATGCTGACCATATGCACAACTAAACTTTGGTACTGATCATTCCTGTAAACTTTGGATGAAATTGCACCAGCAGTTTATGAGGAGTATTCTGGATAAACTTTTGTGTATCTGGCTACACACAGAAAAAAACACCTTTTTATCAAAGGGCCATAACTCGGCTAACAAGAGCCACCGCCGGGCGGGGGCAACGCTCGACTTTTTACTTTTTCTAAACGCAAACATAGAAAGGTTTGAACATATATTAACGTTTCCTTTTTATAAATTTAGTTGGTCTGTCTTGTCACATTAGTTTTCTTTAAATATTTTGTATAAATATGAATAGAAACATTAAGCATATTTCTAAAAATAGCAACAGTACGCAATTTCTTAAAATAGCAACATGACGCAATTTCTCAATATAGAAAAAATGACGCAATTTCTAAAAATACAAAAAATGACATAATTTCTAAAAATATAAAAGTGATGCAATTTCTAAAAATAACAACAATGATGCAATTTCTAAAAATAGAAAAATTGATGCAATTTCTAAAAATAGAAAAAATGAAACAATTTCTAAAAAAAGAAAAAAATGACGCAATTTCTAAAAATACTAAAAATAGAAATTATGACGCAATATCTAAAAATAGAAATAATGACGCAATTTCTAAAAGTAGAAAAAATGACGCAATTTCTAAAAATAGCACCAATGACGCAATTTCTAAAAATAGAAATTATGACGCAATTTCTAAAAATAGAAATTATGACGCAATTTCTAAAAATAGAAAAAATGACGCAATTTCTAAAAATAGCACCAATGACGCAATTTCTAAAAATAGAAATTATGACGCAATTTCTAAAAATAGCACCAATGACGCAATTTCTAAAAATAGAAATTATGACGCAATTTCTAAATATAGAAAAAATGACACAATCTCTAAAATTAGAAACAATGACGCATTTTCTAAAAATAGCAACAATGACACAATTTCTAAAAATAGCACCAATGATGCAATTTCTAAAAATAGAAATTATGACGCAATTTCTAAAAATAGAAAAAATGACGCAATCTCTAAAAATAGAAATTATGACGCAATTTCTAAAAATAGAAAAAATGACGCAATTTCTAAAAATAGAAAAAATGACGCAATTTCTAAAAATAGCACCAATGACGCAATTTCTAAAAATAGAAATTATGACGCAATTTCTAAAAATAGCACCAATGACGCAATTTCTAAAAATAGAAATTATGACGCAATTTCTAAATATAGAAAAAATGACACAATCTCTAAAATTAGAAACAATGACGCATTTTCTAAAAATAGCAACAATGACACAATTTCTAAAAATAGCACCAATGATGCAATTTCTAAAAATAGAAATTATGACGCAATTTCTAAAAATAGAAAAAATGACGCAATCTCTAAAAATAGAAATTATGACGCAATTTCTAAAAATAGAAATTATGACGCAATATCTAAAAATAGAAAAAAATGATGCAATTTCTAAAAATAGAAATTATGACGCAATTTCTAAAATTAGAAAAAATGCTGCAATCTCTAAAAATAGAAACAATGACGCAATTCTATAAAAAAAAAACAATGACCCAATTTCTCTAAATAGAAACAATGACGCAATCTCTAAAAATACTAAAAATGACACAATTTTAGTTATTGTTGTTGTTGTTGTAAATATATATATATAGACACACACACACCAATAAATATTTAAATATGGTCATTTAATGCACAAATCTGAGAAAATTCAGTAATTTAACCTTCAAGGTCAAGGTCATTTAAGAGCCCAAGCAAAGTTGGGTTTGATAAACAACAAGGTCTGGTCCTTAAGAATGTTCTCTTATAATATGAAGTTGATCCCTTCAATAATAGCAAAGTTACAGTCAGTGACCGCCAAAACAATGAAAATTTCAATAATTTGACCTTCAAAGACAATGTCATTAATGTGTGAAGGTCAAGGTCTTTCGGTATATCTTTAACAGTAATCTTTGAAGATTATTATGTTCAAGTTTCAGGACAATCCATTCAAAAATAACAAATTTACAGCCAATAAAAGCCAAAAAAAATGAAAATTTCAATAATTTGACCTTCAAAGTCAAGGTCATTTATGAGTGAAGGTCAAGGTCTGGCTGGTTATTTTTAAGGGATATCCTTAAAGATTATTATGTTCAAGTTTGAAGACAATCCATTCAAAAATAACAAAGTTACAGCCAATTACAGCATGAACAAGCAAAAATTGGACTTTTAACCTTGAAGGTCAAGGTCATTTATGGATGAAGGTCAAGGTTAGTGTGGTCTACTGAAAGGTCTTGTCCCAAGGGTTGTTGTGGCCAAGTATGAAGACAATACACAAAGAAATAAAAAAGTTATGATCCAGGTACAAGTTTTCGGACGGCAACGGCAACTGCTACGGCAACGGCAACGGCAACGCCGACCTGACTGTAGCAATACCTCTATTTTTTTTTCAAAAAAAAAAAAGTCGAGCTAAAAATCATTGAAATTGCATAAGTGGTATAAGAGAAGTAGTCCGGACAAACTTTAAAAATAAAAATTATTAAAGGGCCATAACTATGACAAAAATCATTGAACCCGAAAATGCTGACAATAATTATGCTCAACTAAACTTGGTACTGATCATTCCTGTAAAGTTTGGATGAAATTGCACTAGTAGTTTATGAGAAGTAGTCCGCACAAGTTTTGTGACGGACAGACGGACAGAGAGACGACGGAGAAGTGATCCCTCCGTAGAGGCGACACAAAAATGAACTTAGGGCAATAACTCTAAAATTAGGCAAGACAGAGTAACGGTTATTTTGCACAGCACATAATTATATCTCTTGTAGTTTCAGTGTTTTCTCCCGGACAAGAAATCGGGACGGACAGACGGGTATCTATAATTTCAGTTTTATTTGACTATTCTTTGGTTATAAAAAGCATTATAAATCCAAAAATGCCACATAAAACATAAAGATCAAAGACAAGTAAATGCTATCATAGTCACAAATAAACCCAAAATGTTTGCTCGGACAGACATCCGGACGGACGTCCCAACATTTGGGGTTAATGTGCTTTTTCTTTGATCTTAACATGGCATTTTCCAGTAAACCAGTAAAATAACCAAATAAACCAGTTGGTTTATTGGACTGCCATTTCCTTTGTTAACTAAGGTCATCGACTGAATGAAGCTCATAGACTATTGAATGTTTGCCGGACAGTCGGACAAAGTGGCGATTATGGTGTCCCTTACGGGGACAATAAAGTTTTACTGATGAATTTTTTTAAAACAAGCACATTTGTCATAGTATCCAACATATCTTTTTTGCAGCATATAACCTTGACCCTGGTGACCCGTTAGTCAATTTAAAAAGGACAAACAATCTAAAATATATGAATGACTGCAGTCCACTAATAAATTCTGCATGAGTTAAAGTGTAAATGACTTTTTCTATCAGGTACTGATCTTGTAGTGGATCCAAATGAACACTTCTTACATCATCTCTTAACATCTTTCAAATACCAATCTTTCAAATAATAAGACATCAAATTAAACCAAAAGTATTTATCGACTAGATATGAAAAAAAAAGAAATAAAAGTTTTATAAGCAAACAAGTGCAAAAATCTATTTCAAACACATGTGACCTGGACGCAAGTGACTTAATTTAGACAACCACCCAATGTTCAGGTATAAATCGAACCCACCTTTAATGACACAGTTATGTTTAATTTTAGCAAACTTAAATAGTTTTACCATAAAGGCCAAGTTCAACTTGACAAATCACATGCTTAAAGTTGATTTGTCAAAGGATAAATAAAACCTGATCATGAATAACAAAGTCATAGATTAATTCATAAAACCTCAATATTTTACCATAAGCTAAATTAACTTAAAGCTTAAGGTCAAACTAAGTTAAATTACTTAAAGGTATTACTAAGATTCAAGCCCAAGTCAAATATAGTTTTCAATAAAATGCATGAATTGCTTAAGGGTAACACAATTTATTTCGCCAGTCCTCAAGCAAAATACAAGCAAAAAAAGATAATCATTTACATATATCAGCTTAACTTTTTTGAACATTCCAAATTTCTTTTAAAATAATATCTAAGTTTTCATGAAATTGAAAGTTTTCATCTCCGTATAAAAATAATTGAGTTCATCTGTTTGATTCATGTTACGATGATAGTTTTCTAGAATATTCATTCGTGTAAAATAAATTTAGCTTAAATTTAATTACGCGTAAAACACATTGCCTCGATCTGTTTGCACTGTTTTGCATTCACCATAACACATCGGTGTTAGAATCGTTGCAATGTTAGGTCATAATGTTTTCTATCTAACCATCTTTATACTTCAAGAAACTAGTAAACATATTTGTTTTGGAGAGATTTTTTTTAACTTTTGTAATTTTTTCTGTTAAGATGTTCAAGAAAGTGCTGTGCTGACGTAGCTCGGCTTCCAAAACAAATATTGCCGTTTTCAACATTTGTTTGTTTGTTTCTTTTGAGTTTTACGTCACATCGACACAGTATAGGTCATATCACGACGTTCCAGCTTTGCTTGTGGAGGAAGACCTCAGGTGCCCTTCCATGCATTATTTCAGACACGAACAGGTACCTGAGTAAAACCATCAACGCTTCGTAAGCTAGCTGGATACTTCCTAACATGAAAGAATCCAAGGTCCCTGTCGGGATTCAAACCCACAGAGGTTAGGGGCAAGTGTTTTGAAGTCAACGACCTTTACCTACTCGGCCACGGACGCCCCTTTCAAAATTTGTTGAAGAAGAATTTAAGAGCACAAATGCGACTTAACATTCCATTAATAACAAGCAATTATCATAGTATTGCAAGCAATCCATAAGTCCCCTACCGGTAAGAGCCCAAGCAACATTCTATGGGCCATTGGCTATTCACTTAGGTTCCTATTTAAAGTAAATTTGTTGAAAAAGTTCTTTAAAAGTGATCACAGGAAATAGTTTTTATGTACAGACAGACTGAAAGACACTCTAAATTTTTTAAACATCCCTGTTATCAAAATATAACATTTTTAAAATCCTATCATGATTGAAGAAGTTGGAGTAAAAATTACCAATTTCTCAAAAAAAAGTCTAAGTTCAAAAGGGGCATAATTCTGGAAATAGTCTTGCTAGAGTATTGAACACTCACAAATGTTGAGTAACAATAAGAAACATTTATATTAAGTTTGAAGTAGATACATTCAGAAAAAGAAGTTATTAAAAAAACAATGTTTTTTCCATGAAAATTTCAAGTTCAAGGGAGGTAATTCTGATAAATTTTGTGCTAGAGTTGTAAACCTTGTCACATATGATGTGGTTGATGACAAGCAACTTATATTTAAAGTTTGAAGAAAATACCTTAAGAAATAAAGAACTTATAGTGAAAAAACTTAAAAACTAGAATCAGAAATCTTGAAATTCAGTCTATTTGTTGCCATAGCAACCAGAATTTTCAACATAGGAAGATAAGAAAAGGATGTGAATAATTTCCATACTGCCATCTACCCATATGTCAAGTTTCATAAACATATTTTCAGTACTTTTTGTGTTATCACTGGATCCAGGTTATGTGTAAAATTTGCCATATTTTCAGTCTATTTGTTGCCATAGCAACCAGAATTTTCAACATATGAAGAAAAGAAAAAGACGTGCATAATCTCCATACTGCCATCTATCCATATATCAAGTTTCATAAAAATATTTTCAGTACTTTTTGCGTTATCGCGGGATCCAGTTTATGTGTAAAATTTGTCATATTTTCAGTCTATTTGTTGCCATAGCAACCAGAATTTTCAACATAGGAAGAAAAGAAAAAGACGTGCATAATCTCCATACTGCCATCTATCCATATATCAAGTTTCATCAAAATATTTTCAGTACTTTTTGCGTTATTGCGGGATCCAGTTTTGTGGACGGACGGACTGACGGACGGACGGACAGACAGACAGACGGACGGAGGGTAAACCTAAAGTCCCCTCCGGTAAACCGGTAGGGGACTAACAACGTTATTGAAAATTACATCTTATTTAAAAAGAGACTTTATCTTTAGAGGTGAAGATCATTTAAAGGTCAATGTCGAGTAAACCTCATGATATTTACTACTGTCAATATATATTTTAACATATAGGTTGGTTTTGTAGAAGTGCACAGAGGAACAATGAGCGTGTCTACATATACTTAAACACAAAGTCATCCTCATACATTGACTTCAATGACTAGAATGATACTATTTTAATCATATTTCAAAAGTTTTCTTTATCAAGCTGATAAAAAAGTCTAGTTTGTTTAAGTAACTGTCATTGTGATCGTGACTTTTGACCTACTGCACTTACCAACCAGATTTCTCAATAAGCAATGACATACAAATGACCATAAGATTGAATGTTCGAGGTAAATTGTCACTTAAGAACTTCGTACGGCAAACTAATTCCATGTTTAAGTATAGCTGAATTTAGAAAATGAATAATGATATTTCTTTTTCTATCCATATTACTTGATGCAATATAGGAATCATACAATAATCAATATTTCTAGTAATGTTAACTTCATGTAGGAAAAAGAAAAAAAAGTTGCTTACGCCGCTAATGATGAAGAGCTCCCACTGAATACATTGTTGCAAAATGGATCGTATGTGCTTTCTCTTTTTGTCCTTATCATATGTGTACCCGTTTTAAGTTCATTTTTCTCTGCGTTCCGCTCAAGGATATTATTCTGAATTGCACGGTAATTATTACTGACATCACGTCGTTTTCTATCAAGTAACAATTCTGTTTCGTCTTCATCAAACTGCGGACTGTCAGATGTTCTCTGGTAGCAGGAGTTTAATGGGTAATTGTATATTTTCATTCTGGTTCTTTTCGCTTTCTTGCCAAAAGTAGCTTCCAAAGTTTCATCATCCAAATTTATCTCCATGAAGCCATCGGCTGTTAACAAACCAGTTTATTTATAAAGTCACTTGCATATTATATAAACTTATCCTGTTTTACATGTTAAAAGGGGTATTGATCATTTCCTTTAAAAATAGTATACAATGAAGTGTAGCTGAAATAATCTCGGCAAAAAATAATATTTAGTCAGCATTAATTTCAATATTCAATCTGTATACTGACCTGCAAATAAATATATTCTATACTTCATTTTAACAATACTAAACAATTGGTTAGCTATCCATGTCTTTCAGGATTATGTTTTGATGACACCGATTGTGTACAAGTAACACTTGACTGATGAAGAAAGACCCTTGATCCACTTTATTCATCATCTAAATTGTATCTTGATAACCAAATTAGTACAGGTTGCCTTTCGCAAGCAACATAAAAGCGTCAATAAATCACACATAATCTTTAAACAAACCAATGTTGGTCAATATGGCGTCTGGGACTGAGTAGTTAATGTTATGGACTTCAAAGCAATTGCCACTCTTGGCTAACGGTTCAAATCCCACCAGCCACTTTGAATTATTTCATGTGAGGAAGCTATCCAGGTAGCTTAAAAAAGGTCAGTGGTTCTACACAAGTGCCTGTACGAGTCTAAAATAATAAGAAGAAGGACATCTGAAGTATTTCGCAAGAAGTAAAGCTGGAAACTCGCAATATGACCTCATTTGTTGCGACATTAATAATGCAACCAATAGAGAAAAAAAACGCAATATGTAACTTACTATAAGATGCTTCCTCGTCAAAGTCATAGTAGTAGACAGTCGTGTCTAAACTTTTGATATATGATTCAACAATGTCTAATTTCTTTGAATATAAGGATGACACAGTATTGGCATCAAGGGCTCTGAAATCAAGAAAATTGATTCAAAATATACTGAAAAATTGACTTACCATAATGCCGTTAATACGTTTCTGCACAACAACTATATCAGTAGTAATACTTATCGTCGGAAGACAATCAAGGTTAAAGTGACATATAGTGGTTAACTGTATTTTTTCAAATATTAGAAAATTTCACCATCCGATTTTTATTATTATTATTATTTTGTTAAGTGTCACACCCCCATCTTTGAATCTTTGCTGAAATTTTAATCACCATGGTATATTAAGAGGAATTACTTTTGCATATGAAACATGTTTTGTAGACATTATCTATGTCTCTGTTTTCATTTTGGTCCTAATCAATTTACAAAGTGACTGTAAGTAACAAGTATTCATTGTGTTTTACATATTTTTATCTTAGCGTAAAATAAACTCCCGTTTTCATAGGCTCAAAAATTACATAACTTTTCCACTAGCTCAAGCCAGTGTTTGTTTGTAGGAAATATTGTAAAACTTGAAATAAAAAAAAATATCTTCATATATATAAATAAACAAGTTCTAAAAATGTAAAACACTTTTACCATCTATAATTTTTACTATAACAGTTTGAGTTTGATACATATTTTGCATTGCCAGAGTTAATAACTTGAATTATTATATCACTTATGTACATTTTTATGACAGACATACTTTGTCCTTGCATATCGTGGCTAATTCCTTAAGAAAATATGTTAAAATCGCAAATAAAACACTAAAAAAATCAGTTGCCTAGACTGGGATTTGAACCTAGACATCTCACATCCTAAATGAGCCTGTTACCCATGACTACCACGCATGTGCCATCAATATAATTATAAGAAAAAGTCAGAACCACACTTGTAATCTTTAAATGCATAAGGCTTTCTATACTATTTTGCTAGAGCATTTTCAACAGGACACTGTGTTCTATTCTCAATTCCTAAATCTGTGTGTGGTAAAAGATGTTATCAAGGTCTTTACGAAAATTTTAGGTTATATGTCTTACTAAATAAACCGTACTAAATAAACCTCTTTGATAAGTTTTATATTATTTCAGTACATATTTAAAGTAAAATGTATTAAATGACAAAGTATAATATTATAGCTTATAGGCAAACCTAGAAAATGATTCTTTACATTACACAAATTGATTTTAGCATACATGTATGTAACAGGTAGTGCAATAAACTATAACCCTTTAGCTATTCATAGATAATAAAATAACGTCACATCTTTATGTACATTTTGGCTATTGTCTCAGTTTAGAAAACTCTTTGATAAGAGGGTTGAAGGCATAACTGAGTTGTCAATTTCCTGGAATTCCATCACCAACATTTGGTCAGAGAAAACCAATAAAAAGAAGATGAAGGGACTTGTATTATTTTTATTCTACTCACTTTAAGAGTTTTTTTATACCTAAATATGTGAATGATGTGTATATATATTATGTTTGGTATTACTTTAGCATTATTCTATATCAATTACAGGATTACATTGATTGGAATATGATCGAGAGATACTTTCCTACACTTGACACTGTAGTATCAAGTATATTTTCAATACTGGACAGCTGAATGCAATAAAAGACCATAATTGCGTTCATACAATTAATTACAAAAACCGATTATGCAAAAAAAAAATGATTCGATAAATTCGATAATACAGAATGTATCAGCAACGCAGTTGCCATGTTTTTGCAAAAAAAAAGTTGTCGTACTTACTTCGAGGCAAACACTAGGGAATCATAGCAGCCCACAAAGGAGTCAGTCTTCTTCCATCCGTTGGTTTCTTGGCTAATTTGGAACTTGCCAAGAGAAAGAGAGCCACCATTTCTAAACGGATTTGCTTCTCTGAATTTCTCAACTTTGTAAACTGTTGGTGTATTTCCGCTGTTTTCATTGAAGACGTAAAGAACAATTTTCTTTGCCTTTCTTGAGTATGTTAATACTATCTGATGCCATTTGTTATCGAAGAGCTCAATACCAGTCCGCCACTCATAGTCCTGTCCATAATACATAATAAGTTCTCCGTCATTATAATCTAGACTAAATGGAGTCTTCTTCACATACGAGAAAATTACGCCATGGCAGCCTGTGCATGTTTTGAGGTAAAATGAAATGGTTATTTCCTTAGTTGACACGTCAAACAACCGGAAGTTCTTTGTATTCGCACTGGCGGAGTTACAGCATATTGCTAAGCCAGAGTCTTTGTCGGTGACGTCAGTGTTATCAATAAACTCGTCATTACCGAAATCTGCATCAGATGAGCACTGAAATAAAATTTATATATAAATTTGAAAATAAGACAAATATACATCACAAATACAAACACTAAAAACGCCAAAAAAAGAACAAACTATACCTCTATTCCACATATCAAGAGTATATCATCCATATATAACTCATAATGGTATAGTCAAACTTATTCATAAAATGTTATGTACAAGCACTTGTGATATCACTGTATAATGTGACATTACAACTAAATAATGTTTATTAGCTATTAGTACGCATGTGTTTTGTAAAATGATCATGTTCAATATCAACAGCTTAGTTTCAGTATGGTGTTAAATATCTGATACAATAACAGCGTGTTTTAAATCAGTCTGACACTGTTATAGTCATATGGTGGCTTTCCTAACTTTACTGTTGCAGACGGACTTCATGTGTCTCTCCAAGTTTTTATACAGATACAGGCACCCTAGAGGAACAATAGCTTTTGTTAACAGAAAGTTGTATAAAAATTCAGTGAAAATATAATGAATTTCCAATCTATGCTATACTATAACTATAAAATAAATACATCTTCGTCAAATGTCTCTGGTAATCTTATTAATTTAAAGGGAAGAAGTAAGTTATTGTTATTCCTATGGAAATATCTGCAACTGCTCCTTCAAAGGATTACAATAATGTTTCCTTATATGAATCCTAAAAAATACGAAGTGATTCATAATGATTTATAATACCATATAGTTTACATCAAACTTACGTTATTGAGCTTTAATTTAATTTTTTATGTATAAAAAATTACGAAATAACATCCTCATTATTGCTCATTATATTATGGTCTAGAGGATAAAAAGTTCCTAAAAAGAAGGCATACTTTATTTCCAGTTAAATTGTAGGAGACTATTGTATAATTCCATTTAAGAAATATTTTTGGTCGGAGCTTTTTAACTCCTAAGCAAAAATTCTTTAGAAAATCTATGTATGGCAAAACGCCCCACAGCCAGTCTATACTTGACCCTAATGCCATAACTGATATACTTTTGTAAATGAAAAAAGCACTCGCCAGAGCAACACTGAAAGTATTATATTGAAGTAAATACTGAAAATAAATGTATTTATTCAGAAATTAAAAGTATACTTACATATGTGCCTATCTGGTCTGGCAAAGTAGTTGGATCTGTATAAGCCGTGTAATCACCTTTCATTAATCCTGAGGAATTATCAGGCACGTAGTGGCATAGACCCTTGCTTATCCATGAACGAGAGGACAACCTGATATTTACTCTGAAGAAAATATTGCCCCTTCTTATAACCATTCTGAATCCTATTTCGCTAATCTTAATGATCATTTTCCGTGCATTCTTTCTTGTCATTAACATTTTTCCGACAAGCTGGCCTTCAGTTTTTCCATTCCATTTAACACCGTCAATAAAAGCTTTGTATCGGCGCTTGCCATTCTTTGTTTTCTTCTTTTTGATGAGTTCAAAATTAATTGTGTTACTTCTGTAGGTAATGAAAACCCTGTCTATGACGAGACGTGATATTCTTTTGCCTTTTCTTTTTAACTTTATCTTGTTCTGTCGTACCTATAATTCGAAAGAAAATATAATATATCCAGAACTGCACAAACAGGAAATTATTTAATCTGCAAACCTTTATTTCATGACGACAATGTGACAAAAGTGCATTTAAGAACATGATTTTAGGGACTTAACAAAGTGAGGCAAGAAAACTTGATTATTCAGTAACAAATCATACAGGTGAGTGATACTCCAAACAAAAGATTTCTATCTTCCAGGTAACTGAAGGACACATCTTTAACAAATATTTAGGAACACTACTATTGTTTTTATAAACCGTTTATGTGCTTTAACTTGGTGAAATGCTTTCAATGAACAAAATTTAACAGATCATTGCATAAATCATGAAAATAATTTAAATACGGTTTTCCATTTTTAAACAGAATAAGCCACTGCATATTGCTAAAGGAAAAACCTACATTTGACTGTAGCATCAAAATCATAAAGACATAAAAAATCCAAGCTTATTTAGAAATGTTCTTCTGAAATCATACTGCATATAAAACATAATCCAAAACTTACCAATATTCGTAGATTTTCTATTTCCAACAGGACAACTTTATCAAATGTCTTTTTATATTTTTTTGCTGCTTTTCTGAACATTCTTGTCTTCCCATTGTTTCCGTTCAATCTACAAACCATTCCTTTTCCATCATTAATGTTATCAGGAGTTGTTCCATCAAGATTTTCCAACTCATTAGTATTATCAGCATCACCGCCAATTTCATCAATGTCCGTTGAAGGGTCTGTTTTCTGAATGTTGCACTTTTCACCTTCCCAGTCCTCTTGACAAGTACTGCAACTTGAATCTCCGCTCCATTCGTAATCGCATGAGCATATTCCAGTGGAAGTATTACATGTTCCATGATTATTACAAGGCGTTTCATGACCACCTGGACACTCGGACTCGCATTCAGAGCCAAAATAGCCATCTTTACATATGCAAACCTCATTTACAAAGTTTCCAAACGTACATTTTTCCAAACAGTCTTCACCTCCCATCACTGGAAATTGCCTTGCTCCGAACTCCTTGCATAAACTATTTAACGGGTTGGTAGTTGAACCTGACATTTGCATACACTCCTTTGAGGAAGCTAAAGCTATGTCAATTGCATTATCAACACTTCCCGATTCAAGTGCATCACTTTGACATGCCACAAATGTGTAGTCTATCAATTCCTGTGCCTGGCCACAATCGGACTGAAGAGCACTTTTCAATAAATTACATTTCTGTTGAATTTCTGTATCTTCAGTAATAGTAGAAAAACTTCTTTGATTAGGTACACTTAATTCAGTTATGTCTGGATCACTTTTAACCCATTCAAGATTGCCATCAAAACCTAATAATCCAGTATTGCCTGTTACTGAGTCAATTATTTCTTTTCCAGAGCCTTCATCAAAATTGACACAAAGCAAAATCTCCTTTTCTGTTAAAGGGTCATAACTTAGTCCTCCACCTCCAGATGATGACACAGCTGATTCTTGTTTTTCATAATTCTGTGAAAAATGATTATTGACATCTTCTTTTGTAATTATTCCCTTAAACACAGACACTCTATCAACTGTTAAAATTGGTGATTCTGCAATACTCCCAGGTCCAGATGTCTTTATCAGAGTTGTTACATTCTGCCATTTACCAATGAGTGCTGTACTTCCTTCTGTAATTGGAGGACCATATTTCTCTATTCCTTCAGATATGTTTATCACTTTGTGTTGACCAAAGTTTAATCCATTAGTTTCATAGAAAACTAATTTTCCAGAGGTTTCATTTAAAGAGATGCCAAGGTTGGTCCAAGTTCCTACAGTAACTGGAACACCAGTTTTGTAAATTTCATCTCCATACTTAATTGCATATTGTTCATTTTTGACAATAATACCGAATGTCGTGTTTGCATTAGCCACACTCAAAACCGTTCCGTCAACTTTTGTGTCCAGCTTTAATCTCAATTCAATTGACTTCTCTGTTGTATTCTCATTTATCATCTCATCATTTAATGTAGGGAGAGAAGCATATGCTCCATTTGACAATTTAACAGACATCCCCGCAGTTTCCTTTTGTTCACCATATTTAGCGAATAGGCTTTCATCATATGGCTTGCTTGTGGCCTCAAAGAAGTCATCTAAATCATCGTTGTTTATATAGTTGTTTCTTACAGCATTTGCTACTCCAATTTCTCCAATAATACAAGTTTTATCACCCTCAGCACAGGCATTAACGTCACCAGTTGAGCATTTACCAAATATACCAGTGGCTTTTGTACACTCCGACTTCTTAACTGTCATGTGTACACCAATACTGTCCTCTGATTGAACTGAACAACTTAGTTCAAAATTATCTGGGCCTGTGATGACAATATCAGTTAAAGATTGTTTTTGTATAGTGAAACCAGATGCTAGTGTGACTGTACCGAGAGCAATTTCGTTTCCATTTAATTTTACAGTTCCAGAGTTATAAGGTAAAATGGTCAGCTGTTCTTCACCTACTGCAAATTCAAGTGCTTTAACGGAACTTGTGTATTTGCTTGAAGGTCCCATTTGGGCCTCTATCTGAATGGTGTCATCTGAGAACAAATTGCATGGTTTATCTCTATTATTAAATTTAACATATGCGCCGTCAAATGTTTTTAAATTGCTGTTGCCTGCTATAAAAGCTGAATATTTGTCTGAGGTGAAAGAAGAATCTTGTACCATAGCAAAACAGTCTGGACCATACCATCCTGTATTACATTCAGAACAATCGTTCCCATTAAAGTTGGAACTGCATGTACACACTCCCGAAGCCGAATCACAAAACCCATGTGTGTTGCATGCATTGTGAGCACCACCAGGACATTCCTGATCACAATACTGACCCCAATAACCAGGTTTACAAATGCAGCTTAGTCCGTCAGTCTCTGGATCAGGATGGACACATTTTATATCACAATCGGAACCTACATATCCCAGAGAAACAAAGTTATCTTTACATAAAAGTCTAGAAGGGTCATCACCACCCTCTTCATTAATGTCATCATCTTGATCAACATCATTTAGCTCATAAAAGCAAAGATCACTATAGTAAAGAGCTGCCTGTCTTGCAACATTTTCATCATTTCCATATTTAGAAATTTCATCTACACATCCTGTTTTATATACATCTTCTGTTGAATCACCAAGAGCAGAACACTTCGATTCAATTGTCGTAAAGATTTCTCTACAAATTTCAACTGCAGCTGTGTATGTTTCTGAATTTTCAAACCCAGAATATAAATTTGTTTCAATTTCAGGAGCCGGTTTCGTTGAAAAGGTACGTTGAACAGTTCCTCTCCCATATGGATCATTAATTGAAAGATCATTGCCATTAGGTGAAGTGTCAACTAATTGTGTCCCTTCATTTTCATCAAATTTCAATTCAAATAATGGGTCATCATTTCCATCTGCATGTATAGACACATCATCTATCTCTCCGTAAAAAGATCCATCAGTTGGAAGGCTATATCCAGAAGTACCAACCGGTTTTCCTAAAACAATTATCCCATTATCTGCAAAACACTCTTTTGGTACTGTAAATACTTTTGTTTCCTTTGTACCAGTATTAAGATTGAAGACATCTAGTGTTATTGTTTCGCCGACAGGTTCAAAAGATATTTGAATATCTGCCCATTCGTTTGCAGGTAAAACTAAAGATGTGTTTATCAATTTGGTAGCTGCCTGAACTTTAATTTCATTGTTATCAAGTAAAATTGCGAATTGTGAGTCTCCAACATACTGAAAAACTCCCCCTGAACTTTCATTTTCAGGTTTAATACTGAGCTTAATAGTGCTTTTCTGTTCTGGTGTCAGCACATTTGTAAGAATATTAGTTGATATTGTTGAAAAATGATCTCCATTTGCTGGTACAGCAACACTAATGCCTTCCTCCGGAATGTAGTCAGACTGTGACCCAAAACTTAAACTGCTTCCAGCAGTGGTTGTTGGTTCATTTATATTATCTGGTAGCGATTGATCATTAGCTGAGACAATTATTTCAGAAAAACTCTGTACATCATTGGGCGCGTATGTATTTGAATCTGATAAATTTCTTGCACATGCAGACACTCCAGCACAAGTTTCACAATCGGTTTTTATTATAACTGCAAGATAGCCGTTACTTTTGAATCGTATACGGAAATTGACAAAATAATCCATTTTTGACTTCTTCCTTCTAAGAACAAAAACACTTTCAGATTTTTCTATATACACAAAATTCACTGATGAAGTAGGATCGTTATTTCCATTTACTTTAATTCGGTCAGTTTCTTTATCTGTGCCATTAATAATAATTGTCTCTAAATTATAAGTAATTTGCAGGGAATTTAAACAAATATTTTTGCCACACTTAACTGTACGACCTTTAACTGTAGGAAAGCTCTCATTTGATGGATTTAGTATGTACCATTCATTTGCAACTAAAAGCGAAAAGATTTCTCCAGAAAACATTTTAACTTGAAGTGAGCGAAATATCTGACATGTTGGCCTCTGAAGTGATCCTCCATTATTGGTGTCAGACTGATCACAGTGCTCTCCTTTAAAGGAAGAAGTGCAATTTTCACAGTTACTGTTTGGATCAAAACCTGCAAAGCAGATACAAGATCCATCTTTAGAATCGCATGATCCATGTGCAAAACATGGCTTGTTGCTTAACCCTATACGGTTAGGGCATATCTGTGCACAGTTCCAGTCCCAAAATCCTTCGTTGCAGACACAACCCTTATCGGAGGGAGTTCCTTCCAAACAAAAATAACCACATAAACTGTCATAATGTTCAGCCTTGTGATCAGAACACAGATCATCAAGTGGATTATTCACTGGTGTAAGATTAGATTTACAAAATACTATATAAGCTACTAGCCCTGGAATATAACTATCTTCACTTTTACATGCATCAATAAAAAACGTAGAGAAATCAACACCCAATCCATTACAAGCTAATGCAACTGATTCTGTTCCAAATATCTTGACACATTTTTCCGTTCTAACTACATCAGTGGATGCTGAACAACCATCTGTAATTAAAGGACTACCTGCTTTATCCGACACTATCCATGCCACCTCGTTATCAAGTTCAGATATAATCATTTCAATGCCTTGCCTAGAATCTTTTGTCTCATACCCAAACCCTTCAACAAAGGAGTAATCCATCACTAAACCTTCAACAGTTTCAATATTAGCATCATTCACCAACTGATATATTTTTAAAGTGTTTAAATAAATATTCCAAACTCTAAGTTGTCCAAATAGACCATTGAAAGGATGAAAAGCAATTGGAGGGTCTATTGGCCAGTCTCCAAGGAAAAAATTACCAGCCCCGGGAAACAAGAGTTCACCTGCTGGAAATAGTTGTTCAAACTCTAATATTTTATCAGAGTAAAAGAATGATTGTATTGTTTTGTTAATAACATCAAATGTTACAATAATATGATACCATTTATCAATTATTAAGGGAAAGTCTATCTGATACTCATTTCCATAGATAAGAATTTTAGGTTGTAAATTTTCAAAGAATAGACTGAACTGAATAGCTGAATCAGCTTGGTAGTAACCAAGTATAAGACCACTTTCTGAAAAAGTTTTCACTTGCACTTCTACAGAAACATCAAACATATTTTCACTATTAAAAGAATGTGTTGGTACCCTGCCTGACATTGCATAACCGCCAGTAAAAAGGAGACTATATCCTTGAGTCATGTCTTTCGGTTCTTCTGTTGTCAAATTCGGGTACGAATATATAAATTTGCTTTCTATTAAAGCATCCCTTTGAATATGACCTGAAAATTCCTTTGCTATAAACTGATCGCTTATTTCATTATACTGAACAGGGTCCCCTGAGATGCTTAAAAAGTCATCATTAACATCTAAGTTACAATTTCCAAGCAGACCTGTCTGATCATTGGCAGCACATGGTGTCTTTACATATACTGACAGATATGGTGAGCTAGCGATATAGGTAACATTGACAGCTATTTCATTTTGAACAAATTGAAGAGTCACTTTGTCAATCCAAGAAATGGCTGCAACATCATTGATGTCATATGTTGCAAGGCTTAATATGGTGACTATATTTGTATTGTGTTCTAGTATTATAGGCTGGTTTTCAGTGAGTGGGACTTTAATTGTGAAATCATCTGATGCCATCTTGATCCAAACTTGCTGAATACAAGTTTTACAACCTGCACATGGTCGCATACGAACATAAATAGACAAGGTTTCTGATACCTTTTCAAACAACAGGTACTCTCCTGGTTCCTTAAGATTGAAGCCCTGGCCATCAAACATGACACAATTTCCCTGGCTAAAACACATTCCAATATATTCTGACAAAGAACTAGATAGTTCGGCTGCAACAGACGAACAGTCTTCTCCAATCCATCCACTAGCACATGTACTGCATCCGTTTAAAGGATCAAATTTTTCTGAGGAGCATTCACAGGACCCTGTAACTGTATCACATATCCCACCACCACAAGGTTTTCCTCTTGCTACTGTACACTGCTTTTCACAACTGCTTCCATAGTAACCATGATTACAATAACACTTATCATCTTGTGAATCAAATTTGCCCGCACCCCAAATGCACATTTTGTCACAATTTGGCCCATACCAATTTGAACCACTACCATAATCATTACAAAGCTCTTTTAAAGGATAATCTTCTGCAGTTCTGTTTGGTTGCAATGCATCACTGATTGGGGTTAGAATATCTGCCGGTTCTACTTCCTCATCACTCACAGCTTTTGCCATTAAACATTCTTGTAAAAATAATAACCTTGCTGAATCAGTAATTTGGTCTATTTCCTGTATTGAATCAATGATGGACTCACATTCTTCGATATGGCTAGCTGGAGAATCTGAAATCAGCATATCTTTGATATTTTCTGCTGATATATATGTCATCTCATAGTCGCAGACAGACCAGTGGATGTCAGCCCAATTTCCATCTTGCCAAGACATTGGTATATGTCGTTCTGATGAATCTTCAGACATGAATCCACTTCTTTCATTAAATCTCCAGATATAAGCAATGTCGGGGTTTGATGATATATCATTGTATTTGAATGCATTGTTTACGATTTCATTAAAACCAAATGAAGATTTCCAAACAGCAAAATCATCGATATGTCCATTAAAGCCATGTATTAACCAATCAGGAACGAGTCCCAGAGTGAACACACCTCCTGGACTAAAGACATCCAACAGAAAGTCATCGTCAGAAACATAATCACTTGTGACGCTAATTGATTCATCAATCAGATAGAAGAAAATTGTATGGTCACTGCGTGTCCAGACAACAGATAATTTGTACCATTTTGCAAGTTCTATCTCAATTCCTAGTGATCTCTGTCTTATGTCTGTTGAAGTAAATGTTTCATATGCAAGATTTTCACCACAAACAAGTGTGGAAAATATGTCACCATCTGAATTTTTGTATGACCAAAGAGTTGCACAATCATCAGATGCAGATTCAAGGTTAAATAAAATGTCAACTGTGATTTCTGACTTAGTAAAGAAGTGCACATCCCCACTTTCTATCAGACTTGAATGGATACTAAGACATGTATCCCCTGCCACGCCATTGAAACCAGAAAGAACATTACTAAATACATCATCATTTGTAAGCCAAGATTGAACAAACTTATCTTCAACATTTGCATATGTAAGCTGATAATCAGAGTCTCCTTCAAGTAAAATATTACCATCAGATAACTTTAAGTCATTATTGATGTTTCCATCACACAGCCCTAATAAACCGCTACCAGTTTGACAAATGGAGTCTTTTGCATTCACAGTTACATCAATATATCCCTGTTTTAGGTCTATATATATGAATAAATCAGATGAAGCAGTCAGAAGAAAACCAGTGGGAGATTGCTGTAACAACTCAACTTCTGGGGCCAATACAATTCCACTTCCTACCTGAATGGACTCATCATTTAACCAAACAGAAAAACCCTGTTCCTCATTTGCTTGTATAACAACATTAGTCCCTCCTACTGACATGGCCACTGCATTTGTAACAGCTATTGGAGCTATATTAGCCCCAATTACCTGGAAAAAAAACACAATTCTATTTTTACTGAGACTAAAACTAACAAGATATGTTTGTAAAACATGTATGCCTCCTATCGGCAGCCAATTAGTCATGTGATAAGGTTATTATGCATGACTTCTGACCCAGTGATCAAACAATTAATAAGGGTTATCAAGTATCTACTGGTCATGACCTTGACCTTTGACCCCTTGACCCCAAAATCAATAGGGGTCATCTACTGGTCATGACCAATCACCATACCAAGTTTGAAGTTCCTAGGCCTAAGGGTTCTTTAGTTATCACTCGGAAACCATTTGGTCTACGGACCGACGGACCGACAAGTGCAAAGGAATATACCCCCTTTTCTTCGAAATGGGGGCATAATTTACTGATAATTGGACATGTCTGAATGAAGAAACAAACAAAAGCATTTGACATACAAGCGTTACCATGTGTATAATGTTGTTCCCTCTCGTCTTAATTCAAACCTAATTCTATTAGCTTCAGATTAAAGAGAAAGTACAAGTTTTTGACATGAGGATTTTTAAGATTTTGTTAAACAAGAGGGCCAAGATGGCCCTAGATGGCTCACCTGACCCATCAAACTCATCTGCTCAATTACTTAGACAAGCATCCTGTGACCACTAGAGTGTTAACAATGTTTCTCCATAATTTGGCAGTGTGACCAAACTTTTGATCCCAGGTGACCAATACTTGAACTTGACCTAGGATCACCATTTTCCAGAATATTTGGATCAAAAGAGTAGCCACTAGAATGTTAACAAGATTTTCTAATTTTAACTCCTGTGACCTAGTTTTCATCCGAGATAACCCATGTTCGAACTCATCCAAGCAATTACCTAGGTAAGCATCCTGACAAAGTTTGATTATGATTGATGCAAAAATGTGACCACTAGGGTGTTAACGAACAAATGTGGACAGACGACGGATGATGGACAGTCAACGATCCTAAAAACTCACATTGAGCAAGCTCAAGTGAGCTAAAAAGTAAATGCAAGGACAGATGGACAATAGACAACAGACAACACTGTCTCACAAAAGCTCACCTTGTCACTTTGTGACAGGCTAGCTAAAAACAGAGTAAAACAATTTCTTATTTTAATATTAAACAATTGTTCTTTTAATCCGTCACCGTCATATGGCTATAGATACAATGTAGGCACACAGACAGATCAAGAATGTAAAACACACAAAATCATGTCTGAGAAGTATCCTGAATACAACCATTGCAATACCCAAAGATATCATCAGATGAGCAAAATTTCATCAAGGTAAGAAATGGACATTTTTTTTACATCACTTACAGATTGGGGTAGGTAAACAAATGACATAACTTACTCTGAGAACAGAAACATCTAGGACCTGGGAGGTTGCAAGTCTAAGGCTAGTGAGTAAGTATTGACCGATTCCATTGCAGTCATATTTCAAACTGTCATATGTTTGGAAATGCCCATATCCATATACCATTCCAGTTTTCCATTCACTTGATTGATCTGTACAAACAAAAATAATTAACCATGATTTAATCTATAAACATAGTTATTCTTTACAGTTATAATTATGTATATCCATGTACAATGTATTTTAGTAAGATTATAAATGTCATTGGAAAATGATTATAAATACCATTTAAATAAGCGAACTAAAAACCACTGCTTATTAAAAACAAGGAATAAAAAGGATTGGTAAAAATAAAGATACAGAAAATCAGGGACTGCTAAAACAAGAATTTGAAATTAAAGGGCTTCATATAAATAAATGCACTCCTAAAAAATAAATATGGAATTTAGGTAATGCTTTATAATAAATATGGACTTGAAGTACCCTAAAGCATAAAAATGAAATTACAAGGCTGCCTTAGCATGAATAAGAATATTGCCAAATAAACATTTTAAAATTTATGGTAAAATAAACATCTTTTGAGTACACAGAGAAGATATGTAACGTTTTAAATGCTATATACTACTATAGATAAACACAGCATGATTACACAGTCTCATTAAAAAACTTGCATTTAAAAAAAACAAAACATGTTAACTTAACCAGTAATAGGGAATACAGTGTAAGCATTGCATTCTCTTATTAAAATTAGACATACTCTGTAAGAATTTCCTAGATTTCAATAAATTTCTGCAATAAACGTCTTTCACACCAATATGACCACAGAATACCTTTAAGAAGGAAAGCTTTTAGAAAATGAATATTAAAATTCAAAATCCCATGTTATGAATAACTTAAAAACTTTAGTATAACAGTTCTTATTAACAAACTCAAAGATGTTTGTCGGCCATTTTACCTGGTTTTGTACCCGCAAATTTGCAGTCATCACCTATCCATCCATCTCTGCAGTTCTCACAATTTGAACTTTGATCAGCCCCTTCAATACATGTGCATTCTCCAGATGTTGTGTTACAAGAGCCTTTTCCGTAGCATGGATTTGATCCGCCTCCTGGACATTGTCCATCACATGATTCCCCAAAGTAGCCATGGATACACGAACACTTTCCTGTTACCTCTGGAAGCTCATCCTATAAATAACAGAAAAACTTATTTGAAATGTTTTTAATTTATGTTTATACATGTACATTGTATATCAAAAACATAAAAAGCCAGAAGGTTGCAAAATATGCCAAATAGAAATAAGAGAAGTGAATAAAACAAATGTAGTGGTAGAAAATAAAAAGCTTTCTAATAGATGGTATATTATGAATTTGTGTGCTTTGGCCAAAATTAACTCACTTAGGTCAATAGGGAGAGTATTAGATTAGTTATCCAGCAGTCAAGTTATTGTGCATAAGCCAAGTTAACTCACTTAGTTCAATAGTGACAGTATTGGATTAGTAATCCAGGAGTCAAATTATTGTGCACAGGCCAAATAAACTCACTTAGGTCAATAAGTGAGAGTATTGCATTAGTGACCCATGAGTTACTATTTTAATACTCTTATTCTTTCTTTTATTAACATCTAGCTAATTATTACTTAAACAACAGACAAAATACTATAACAGTAAAAACATCACTTGTATAAAGTCTTATTATCATTAAAGAGGAAAACTGTTTGAACAGTTCCGATTATCAAATGAAGATATACATGTAATTTTTGTAATAATACGTCTACTTACACTTGATATAGGTAGGTTTTCACACACGATTGTTTCGTCTACGTCTGCATAAAGATTTGCTTGTACTTTTAAGGTACTTACTCCCCATGTGTACAACATTATTTCTGACATATTCGCTGGCCTAAAAAAAATAATTGAGCCGTGTCATGACAAAACCAACATAATGGGTTTGCGACCAGCATGGATCCAGATCAGCCTGCGCATTCGCACAGTCTGATCAGGATCCATGCTGTTCGCTATCAGTTTCTCTACATGTAATAGGGTTTGTAAGCGAACAGCATGGATCCTGATCAGACTGCGCGGATGCGCAGGCTGGTCTGGATCCATGCTGGTCGCAAACCCATTATGTTGGTTTTGTCGTGACACGGCTCATATAGCTTTTTTTTTAAATCACAAATTTAAATAATTTCTGTTTGATGTCAATATCTGTTGTTCATAATGCTGTCATTATGCAGATAAAAAAGTTGTATGATTTGAATATGAATGTTTCTTAAAGGGACTACACTGAGGCACTTTAAACACAAATATATGCAAAGATAGTTAAGAAATATACTTTGAAATAAATTGAAAATCATATTTTTATGCTTTTCTAAGCCTAATTTGAGTAAAAGGCTTTTAAACCCTTTCCATTTGGAGTCATTTTTTACAATTTGAATAATTATTCTGGAAAAAAAGAAGTGTGCGAATGATCTGAAATTTTGCACAAAGATAAGAGGTCTAAACCTACATCAAATGGTACATTTATCTGGAAAAAATATTTTCAGTCACATCATGTCAAAAAACCTCAGTGGATTTCCTTTAAAAGGTATGACAACAGTCACCTTATAATTATATATTAGAAGGCATACTAGTAAATAGAGGATATTGAATGAGTGTAGATTCATTCAATACAGTATTTATTGAACATAATGAATAAAATTATGTTAAATGATCTTCTGTAAACTTAAATCATTTTATTCAACAAGTTAAATAAATTCAGTAATGAATCTACACAAATACAATGTTCTGTTTATCACATAACCAAAATAAAGACTGTTTAAAGTAAAAAAGAACAATTTTTCATTGACACGCCTATTGTGTAATGCTAACATTAAGGGCGTCGACTTTACACTATATTTGCATAACGCAAATGGCATCATGTCAATGTATAAACACTGCTGTGCATAACCATTTTTACAGAGTCACAAAATTGGCACAAGTATGTGATAAATAGTATTTGTAGATATTTTATCCATCTAGTTAGCTCGCCCCTGGAAGTTACAATGAATCATCTCACTATCCTACCCATTTTAAGATAATGCCATAGTGAATATGATGTGCACAACTGGAAAATATTTATGTACAACTTTCTTTTATTTGCTTTGGTTAAGTTAATGCTGATTTCTGTCTAAGTATTACTGCAACTCCCAGAAGAATATCCAAAGACTAGTGCCTCTTATTATTTCTTGAATGATCCCCATATCAGAACAAATTGTTCCAGTAAGGTACATTTCAATAGTTATATTAATGATGGCCCTAAAAGCACTCGCCTGTATATAGCCCCCCCCCCCCCCCGGTGATGGGGCCAATTTTAACATAGAGGCTTTTATTTGAATAAACTTGGTAGACACTCACTAGAAGATATTTCATGCTTATCATCTAAACTCTAGCTCTTTGGGTTTAAAAAAAAATTTTTTTAAGTTTTTACTATACACATTTAAGGAAAATCAATGACCCAGGGGCGGGGCCAATTTTAACCCCAGGGCCCTTAGAACAAACTTGGTAGACACCCATTAGAAGATGTTTCATGCAATGTTTAAGTTAGCTCTCGGGTTTTAAACAAATTTTAGTTTTTGTTTATACATAAGGGAAACAAGACCCCATGGCGAAAATTTTGACCCTGGCTTTATTTAAACAACTGAACACCCACTAATGTTCATGCTTAATACTAAGCTCTAGCTATTTTGGTTTTTTAAACGAAGACTTTTTAAGTTTTTACTATATACATATAAGGAAAATCAATGACCCTACGAGCAGTGTCAATTTTGACCCCAGGGCTTTTATTTGAACAAACTTGGTAGAAATTGACTTGATAATGTTTCATGCCAAATATTTAAGCTCTAGCTCTTTCGTTTTTTTTTTAAAAAGATTTTTCAGTTTTATTTTTAGTTCTGCATGGAATTAAATTCTTTGAGAAAATTTTTAAGTTGGCCACCAAAGGAACATTCATGTGAAGTTTGGATGAAATTAGCTTTGTGGTTTATGAGGAGATGTCATTTAAAGTAAAAGTTTGAAGAAGGACAACGGACAAGGTCACTTTGTGAAACTGGTGAGCTAAAAATCGAACAAACTGAATGAAAAAAAATGCATACAACAGCCATTAAATATAAATAAGAATCTCACCCGATGAAGAACGAGTATTCAACTTCAGGTAGTTGCCTAGAAGGTATGAATTTAGTTGGATGTTTCTGGTCGGAAATCTCGGTACCATTGTAATATACGGTGTTTTCACTCTTGGATGTTATATAGACGTTATTCGGATTTGGATTCCTATATCCAAACCATGCTTTATACAAATTTGTATCAACTTCCTCAAGGCATCTGAATAGAGGTACAATGGCATATGTTATTTCATCACCATCTGCATCATCAACAAAACGACCTTGATCGTCCATACATTGAATGTCACATTTTGGCCCCACAAAGTCTGAAATAAATGTGATTGAACTTAATATTTATGAAGACTTGATGAAATAAAAAGTGTAAGCTTTTGAAAGAACAGCATCGATATGATAGTCTGCGGATATAAATGCATGTTTATATGATACACTGTGAATATGATTGTACATAGATGTGATTGTTGGTGCATATGATTGTCTGCTGATAAGACTGTCTGTGGATATGGCTGTCTGTGGTAATGATTATATGTAGACATGATTGTCTGTTGATATGCTTGTCTGTGGATATGAATGTAAGTTGATATAATTGTCTGTGGATATGAATGTCTTTTGATATGACTGTGGATATGACAGTCCAAAGGTATGATTGTCTGTTGTTATGATTGTTTGTTGATATGAATATCTGTTGATATGATTATCTGTTGATACAATTGACTAGTGATATGATTGATTAGTATAGAGACTATTTTGGAATATGATTGTCTGTGGATATGATTGTCTATGGATATCTATGGATGTAATTGCTACTATATAAATTACTTACTGTCTGCACAAACTACACAATATGGAGGTCTCCAGCCTGGCACACAGACATCACATCCGTCATTAGGATTCATCCAATGTCCGTTTGTATCATCGTCATAACATTCACATATACTTCCGCCTGAAACATTACAATTAATCTTATATCATTTCAGAGCTAAAGAATACAAGAGGCTCATTATTGTGCTATATGCCTAGTATCTAAGCTTTAGAATATAACATTTCAGGCAAGAAGGTTTAGATGTTTGTAAAAAATACAAAATTCAAAAACAAATGTAATTTATGTATTATGTGATCAACAAGATGAAAAAAATGAAATGTTCCTAAATATTTTGGACAAAATACCAGACAAGTAAATGAAAGTGGAAAATATTTCGTTGAAATGAAAAATTTATAAGAATAAAATATTAAAAGAAATTTAAAAGGGAGGATTATTCTGGAAATATAAAGGTGAGAGTAATGAACCTTGTCTTACATTAAATGGATGATAATTAACGACTTTACTAAAATCTGAAGTAATCCCTTTTATTTCACACCTTTTAATTTGTTTGTTTGATTAGGTTTTACGTCACACCGACACATTAATGGTCATATGGCGATGTTCCAGCTTTACTGGTGGAGGAAGACCTCAGGTGCCCTTTCGTGCATTATTTCAGGCACAAGTGGGCACCTGAGTAGAGCCACTGATGTCCCATACACCTTATAAAATAGTAATTGCCATCTCATCTCCTTTTTATTCTTCTAGTTTTCAAATCTATATTGTACTCAAATAACAAAAGTTATGTCAAAAAGGTGGTGTGAAATAAAATGTCACTACTCATCATTAATACAAGACTGATTCTAATGAATTTGTACACAGCTTTAAAATCTATATTGGACTTAGCTTGAAACTCATCCAATATAGGTTTGACAGCTGCATGTTTCCAATAGAATTCAGTATTGTACTTACAATATATATCAAACTTATAATACTTATTTAGCTTTAGAAATACAAACCTTCAACTGTTGCATATCCATGTGAACAGAACTTGCTACATGTTGTATTATAGCCAATATAGTTCTCTTCACACCTTTCACAATTGTCTCCAGCAAACTTTTGTACACACATGTCACAAGCTTGGCCAGTAAATCCATGGTTACAGTCACACTGTGGTGCTATACTTAGTAACACACATTCACCTTGAAAATACAAGTTAATTTTTAAATTTTCCCAATGAAAAACTGAAAACCCCTACACAAACTGAACTTAAAATATATGTTTATTCCAGAATTTTGACCAGAGTGCAAGCTGACGTTGGTCTGTACTGGTTATATGAGTAGTATCAATAACAACATATCAGGTGGACTGAAAGCCAAGATACATCCATAGATGTGTTAAAACTGGCTTAAAAAAACCCCAGATAAATAACAAACTAACAGATAATCTATAACACAAACCATTGCCATTGCAGGACTTATTTCCTATCACTCCCGGGCAAGAATATTCCGAGCAGTCGTCACCCTTAAATCCAGCGTTACATGTGCAGACAGAGATGTTCTTCTCAGTGTCACGTCTGCATTTGCCATGGTCAGAGCAGTCGGGATCCCCTGAATTTTTTAAATACATCTGAATTAATCTCCTTAAAAAAATAATTTGCAGTTTTCTTTTTTAATGGGGACTTAAGATCAACCTATAGCTTAAATACCAATACAAGAGTGATTTTTTAAAAATATTTCATGAACTGTAACCAAACAGATACTGCAAAATCATTATTGGCATGCATATCATAACGTCCCAGACATCTGGGATTGACAAAGAAATAAAGACATTATGTCTGTTGACTTAAGGATCATGGGTACAAAACCCTACATGAATCACAATTATGTTGGATAATACAAGAAGTGGTTTTAATTTTTGTTTGTTTGTTCCAATGTATTTAGCGAAACCAACAATGTCAGTTGGTTATATGAGAAATTTCCTGACTAACCTTTACATTGTGGAGCCGTCTTATGTCACTCTAAGGCATAAAATAGTTACTAGTAAGATTTATTGTTAATCATTCTAATTTCAGACCATGTAAAACTACAATAGTAAATTGCATTTTACCTGGGCAGTTTAACTCTTCACAAAATGTCCCTTTGTACCCCTCATTGCATTCGCAACCCTATAAAATAAGAATGAGACTTAAAAGAAGTGTTGCAGCACCACACTAAATATTGTATTTCAGTATATACCAGATAAGGCACTTGCATGATTAAAACCTTGCCTTTTCACCCAATGAAACAAACATTTAAACTTCTACTTATATATCTTTTCGCACAGGCAAATATATGATAATGAATGAAAAATGTAAGAATCGGCGAAAAAAGCCTGTTATTATTCTTTTTTCTGCAAGCATCTATTTGTACTGCTCCAACACTGTAGTGACTTAAATCCATAGGATAAGGCATTTGTCAAGTTAATCTAACACAATTCAGAAAATTTCTCAAATATAAATTTACAGAAAATCAACCTTTGTATTACTCTTCAGTTTTGCATAAAAACCTTCCCACATAGGTATACATTAACATAAAAGAACACATGCACTAACAGATGAAATCACAAGATCATGTGATGTTGATGCACATTTTTTAAATACGCAGGACTCAGATACCATGTAAAAATAGTTTACTACAATGAAAGCCAAGTGGATTCATTATCAAAACATGACTGTAACATGGCATTGCACAAAACATGACTGTCATATGGCATTGCACAAAACATGACTGTCAAATTGCATTGCACAAAACATGACTGTCACATGGCATTGCATAAAACATGACTCTCATATGGCATTGCACAAAACATGACTCTCATATGGCATTGCACAAAACAAGACTGTCATATTGCATTGCACAAAACATGACTGTCATATGGCATTGCACAAAACATGACTGTCAAATTGCATTGCACAAAACATGACTGTCATATGGCATTGCACAAACATGACTGTCACATGGCATTGCACAAAACATGACTGTCATATGGCATTGCACAAAACATGACTGTCATAGGCATTGCACAAAACATGACTCTCATATGGCATTGCACAAACATGACTGTCATATGGCATTGCACAAAACAAGACTGTCATATGGCATTGCACAAAACATGACTCTCATATGGCATTGCACAAACATGACTCTCATATGGCATTGCACAAACATGACTGTCATAATGGCATTGCACAAAACATGACTGTCATATGGCATTGCACAAAACATGACTGTCATATGGCATTGCACAAACATGACTGTCACATGGTATTGCACAAAACATGACTGTCATATGGCATTGCACAAAACAAGACTGTCATATTGCATTGCACAAAACATGACTGTCACATGGCATTGCACAAAACATGACTCTCATATGGCATTGCACAAAATATGACTCTCATATGGCATTGCACAAAACATGACTGTCACATGGCATTGCACAAAACATGACTGTCATATGGCTTGCACAAAACATGACTGTCACATGGCATTGCACAAAACATGACTGTCATATGGCATTGCGCAAAACATGACTGTCACATGGCATTGCATAAAACATGACAAAACCTTGTAACTACATTAGAAAAAGTATTTCTTGGACTGAAGGCTTCAACTTTAAATGTGCTCTGGAACTTTACACTGATGCAAAAAAACAAAACATTAATCCTCTCTTAATTACATATACATTACATCAAACTATTTCCTTATTAAATTGAAAGAGTAATATGCACAAAATAAGGGAAAGAATATTTACATGACATGATATTGACAATGCTATGTCAATAAACAAACAACTTCATTAACATTATTTGTGCACTTAAACTTGTTTATCAATTGTATTGATTCTCATTAAAAAAGGCATGTTTAATTGTTTATAGATAACAATTTTTACTTGCATTGCAGTACAATACATCATGAATTATTGTTCAAAATCTTTGTATTCAAAGCTAAGCTTAATAGGGAGCTGGTTATAGTCCTGGGGTTGCTGGGTTCGATCCTCGGGCAAGGTATCCTTTTCTCCATGACAACTAATCTTCGACAATGAGTCTAATGGTCATTTGTCACTCACTGTCAGTCTGTCACTTGTGGAGAAATTGATAATTACTTGTTTGTTAACCCATAAAACCATTAAGAAAATACTTAAAGCACACATATATGTTATATAGGCCTTAAAGTCTGAAAAAACAAACAAACTTACTATGGTAGATGGGGAGTCACTGCAGTAGCCAACATCGCTGCACAAAGTGTTGCAATCAGAGCCATGGTAGCATGGTTCACACTGACATATAGAGGAATCTTCTGGATATTCGTTTCCATGGATACAATCCAAATGACAAGATGATCCCATGGAGTCGGTACAGTTCACACATTTTGGTGGCCATTCTGTCGTACCATCACACACCCCTAAATAAAACATACCGGAAAAAAACTTGTAAATAACATTATTGTTAGAAATGCACTCATTTTTGTCAAGCAGTAATTCTTTTTATAAAATGTACCCCTTTTTTTACAAGAACCAGTGACTTACCGGTAATTGAAAAAAATGTAGCTTGGTGACCATAAGAAAAATTTGGAAAATCTAACAAACATTAAAACAATTAACTTTTTTTCCAAACAGTTATACACTTTTATACAAAATATATTTTTGTTTATTTATGAAATTTATAAAATTGGGAATTTTCAACTGTTATATGCTGAGATTTATCTCATCCTTTACTTATAAAATGCTCAAATTTTAAGAAGAAGCTAGTGTCACCTCTATCATTGCAGTCTATTTCACCAGGGCAGTCCCAGACATCACATCCTTCTCCTTTCCAGTAGTTATTACAAGAGCAAGTCTTTTTGCTGATACTACATGACCCCTGTCCAGAACAACTTGAACCCGTTCCTGGACATCCAGAATCTTCACAAAACTCTCCTGTATTCATGTTAAATTATATACATGTATAATTAAACTGGCAAGTAACAGAACTAAACTCTTAACCTGCTAGAACAGGTGATTAACCTTTTGAACCAATATAGAGCGAGCCTGAAATTGTCTCTACAGTGTGACTAAACTCTATACTGTTAGTAGGTAATTTTTCACATTTTAAAATCCCTTATTTTAGTAATGGACTGTTTCATTTAAAACAGGACAAACCCATTGCGCAGACTCAGCAGGTAAATTTCTAAACCAATATCATTAGTACGAATATGCACACTGGTATGAATATATGTACATAATTAATTATAAAAATCTTCCAAAAGTTATAATGGCTCTATTATATAAACTGGTGTTTGTATATATGACCCAAGCCCCTAGGGTTGTATTGTAAACAAGCTTTTATATATGGCCATATAACCTGTCAGGAATCTTTATAACAGATTTATAACAGCAACCTTCTTTTTTTAATGAGACAAAAGAAATGTTTTTTTTTCTTAAAATGTCAGCAGCCATGTATATAAAGCTATCCATGCTGGTTGCAAACCCACTATGTTGGTATTGTCATGACGCGGCTCACTTGTACTTGAAAAGTATAGATAATAAGAAATGGTTCATAACTTAAGTTGAAAAGTAGAGCTTAGAATGATATAAATAATAAAAGATATTATCTTACCCCAGTAAGTTGCATCGCACTGGCATGTATCTTCAAAACAGCTGCCATGACCGTTGCAGGTTTCCTTACATGCACCACCTGTATAGCAAGGGAAACAATCACAAGTGAAGTCTGCTGTAACATTTCCATACAAACATTCAAACTCGCACTGTATGCCCATATAACCCTCGTGACATTCGCAAGATGGTAACACCCCCGTTGTTATGCAATTTCCACGACCATTACAATCTGGGGTTCCCGGGCAATCAGGTATATGGCACGATGTTTTGTTTTCTCTCCAGCCCTCGTCACAGCTACAGTCACCTTGAATACACTGACCATGTCCACTACAGGATTCTAACATTCCGGGACATTTCTGTATCTCACAATGATCACCCCAGAAGCCCTCAGCATTGTATCCCGTGTCCTGGTCATAGCAAACGCATGTTTCGGATTCACTACAGGTACCATGTCCACTACATGTTAATAAACAATTGTCAGTCTCCATTTGGCAGGCGCTATCACAAACACAAATACCTGCAATAAAAGTCAATACATTTTCAAGTTGTATATTAAATTTCATGCAAAATAACGTTTAAATTATTTTTCTCACTTTTGCAGCCTAAAAAAGGATAGTAACCCTTTGATAAGCAATAAACAGGTATGACACAATTGGGACAAGCCATTGCATCTCCAAAACACATTATGCATCATGTTATACTTCTCTAACCAGTAAAAAATACAAACAAGTAACAAGAGGGCCATGATGGCCCTGAGGTCGCTCACCTGTATATAGGCCCCCAAGCAGGGCCAGTTTAAACCCAAGGGCTTTTATATGAACAAACTTGAATTAAGACAAACCATTAGAAGATGTTCATGATGTTTAAATTTTTTGACTCCTACACAATAAGAATAAACATATAAGCTCTAGCTCATTGGGGTTTTTTAAAGAAGATTTTTTAAGTTTTACTATACACAATAGTTTAAAAACAATGACACCCCTGGGGCGGGGCCAGTTTTGACCCCAGGGCTTTTATTTGAACAAACTTTGTAGACACTTATTAGAAGATATTCCATGCTTAATATCCAAACTCTAGCTATTCGGGTTTTTTCAAAGAAGTTTTTTTAAGTTTTTGATTATACGCATTTAAGGAAATCAATGACCCCGGGGGCGGGGCCACATTTTGGACCCCAGGGCTTTAATTTGAACAAACTTTATAGACACTCACTAGAAGATGTTTGATGCTTATATCTAAAACTCTAGCTATTTGGGATTTTTTCAAGAAGGGTTTTTTAAGTTTTGCTATTACCCATTTAAGAAAATCAATGACCCCTGGGGGGGGCCAATTTTTGACCCAGGGCTTTTTATTGAACAAACTTGGTAGACACCCATTAGAACATAGTTTCATGCTAATATCTTAGCTCTAGCTCTTTGAGTTCTTTAAAAGAAGATTTTTTAAGTTTTTACTATAATGCAATAAGGGAAATCAATGACCCCTGGGGCGGAGCCAATTTTGACCCCAGGGCTTTTATTTGAACAAACTTGGTAGAAACACTCATTAGAAGATGTTTCATGTGCCAAATATCTAAGCTCTAGCTCTTTGGGTTCTTTAAAAGAAGAATTTTTAAGTTTTTACAATATCATATAGGGAAAATCAATGACCCCTGGGGCAGGGCCAATTTGGACCCAGGGGCTTTATTTGAAGCAAACTTTGTAGACTTTTCCACTAAGACGATGTTTTCATGCTAAATAATCTTAGCTCTAGCTCTTTGGGTTTTCTTTAAAAGAAGAAATTTTAAAAGTTTTTTCTTCGGTTGCCATGGCAACGCAGAGTCTAAACACGGAAATCTTTAATTCTTTGAACAATTTTTAAAGGTGACCACCAAAGGAACATTCCTGTGAAGTTTGGATGAAAAAAATTTTTTGTTTTTAGTGGGGGTTAGGGGGGAGGAGATGTCTTTTGAAGCAAAAGTTTAGGAATGGACGCCGGCACGGACGAGTGGACGGCGGACGCAAACGAAAAGCGATCCGCTCCCCCTGTCACTTTGTGCAGGTGAAAAAAAGAAATAATCCATAGAACAGGTTGTCCATGTTCCCCACCTTTTGCTCAATCTACGAAAAACAACGGGGCAGGGGCAATTCAAAAACCCCCCCCACCCCTAAATAAGGGGGCATAAAACTTTTTTTTAAATTCCTTTACCGCTATCCATAGGCGATTGTGTACCATAACATGGCTCACTACAATCAGGGCCCATCCATCCCTTCTCACAGTTTGAACAGAATGGTGTGTCTGTTGATGCGTTACAAAATCCTCGACCGGAACAATTGCTAAGGCATTCTGGGATTGAGCAGTTCGCCATTGTCCAGTATGTGTTGCAAGTGCATGTTCCTGTTTTATGTTTGTATTTAAAATAAAATACATACTTGATTAACAAAATACTAGGTATAATATCATTATTATGCAAAATAGTAACAGAGATTAAAATCTATTCAGAATATACATGTATGACATCCGTAAATTTCAAAACTATGCCCAAAAATTTCATATCAGCTATTTCAAGTTTTATATAACTCCATGATATGAATGGATTCATATAGGTCATTTGTGTTTTTTCTTCGATGTACAATAAATGAAGGCGGCATATTCTCAAATTTGGAAACTTTACATTAAAGGGTCAAGGTCATTTACTTATGTACGTCAACTTCATTTACATAGTTCATAGGTTCTTGCTTTGTGAATGACAAATTGTTATGTACAAGCATTTTCTTAATTCAGTTAATGATGATGATAAAGGCTCACTGAAGCAACTATAACAAATCTCATTATATGAAAAAAAAAAGAAAGAAAAGCCAAAACAATCTATAACTAAATATAGAGCCATTTAAATTGTTGGAATTTACCGATATCTGTATTTGATGCAGTCACACATGATCCATGTCCAGAGCAGTCGAGTCCATTTTCTCCAGGGCAACCAGCCTTTTTACAGTTTAACGCCCTCCCAAACCCCTGAACCCCCCAATCACATGCGTCTCCCCGCAAC